CTCATGGTTTGAGTCTTTTCAGCCAATGATCACTTGGCTCCCCATCATGTTGGTCCTGTGTCAAGGAAGTATCATGGAGGGTGCACATGGTAGGAAAAACCAAAGCTGTTCGCATCTAGGAAGCAAAGAGAGGGGCAGGAACAGCTCGTGTCCTGGTAACCGCTTCAAGCTCACACCCCAGTGACCTAACTTCCCTCTTCTAGGTTGCATCTTTTAAAGGTGCCACCACCTTCCTACTAGTGCCATAGACCAAGGGACTAAGCCTTTAGGGAAACATTTACGATCCAAACCAAAATATTATGGGAGATTTAAGCATTCCTAGAACTTTCACTTCTTTCTAAGGCAAAATGGTATTGTATTGCATGTATACACTGGATCAGAATAGCTTTTGCTTTTCCAGGGCCTTGGCCCTGGTTAAAAACTCACTTGTCGGGGCTCACAGCCCAGTATCATCCATTTGGGTAAAATTAATTGTCTTTGAACTGAGCCACTGTATGCTTTTGAAGTACCAAGATGAACATCCCACATGGCTTGGAGTAGTTACTTATGCAAATGTGAAAGCCAATGTGTTTGCACAGTGTGGGTCTCTTCTGCTTGGGCTGACCCCAAAGTCTGATCCTCCAAAGGGTTACCTTACTCTCCAGGTTGCTTGTTGTCTGTCCTCCAGTGCTTATGGCATATTTAGGGGGTGGGGGTGGGGGTGGGGGTGAAGTAAATGGCATTTTTCCCCCTCTTGGTTTCTGAACCAATTGCTAAATAAAATGAAAAGATTTTTGAGTATTTTATATTTCCCTTAGAAACCAATGGCGTGAGAAAGAAATTTCCTCCTTATTGTGCTGATGTGAGAAAACTGCTTCCCACACATCTAAATTATTTGTGTGAGATTTTACCAAGTAAAATTAATTGCGAACGAATGGAAGTAAAAGCTCTCCCCTCCAAGGACCTCCTCTCTGCCCAGTTGTGTGTGTCTCACTCAGTGCTCATACTATTTCTGTGACTTAAGTTACTCTGTCCTAGAGGCGAGAATGGACTCTTGGGAGTTGATGGCTAGGGTTTGACCTTGAATCTGTGTTGGCTGCAAAGCCACCATTGCCTTTTTAAAAATGTATTCCAATTGCCTCACCCTACGTCACTGTTCAGCAGGGAAGAAGCCAGAGCAGTCTGCATCCCTATTCCCTGTTGGCAGTTTGGGTAACACCTTCAGCGGATGGCGTGATAAGAATAGGAGGTGGGAATTGACTAGGCAGTTAGGGTAAAGAGACCCCAAAGAAATGTATCCAGTTCCTTGGCTAAAAGTCAAAATGTCCTTGGGCCTGTTAGCAACATACTCTGTTCCAAAGGCCAAAACTGTCAAAAGTATTTGGGAGCTTGTATCTAATCCTTAAAAGATTTTAGGGTTACCTCTTCAGAGGGGGGAATGTTGGAGGGGAGGAAGTGGGCATGGATTATATACATGTATGAAAATTCTCAGTAAAGTTTATGTGGTGGCATACGCCTTTAATTCCAGCATGCCTTTAATCCCTCCCTCAGGAGGCAGAGGCAAGCAGATCTTTGTGAGTTTGAGGCCAGCCTGGTCTACATAACCCGCATTTTTCTTTAGAACAAAACCACAAACCTTGTTTTAGCCAGTTCAAAGTTTTTTCCAATGTTTTTGTGAGTGGATCTGGCAGCACGTATGAGTTTTCCTTCTAAGGATAGAAGCAGTGGTGGGGGTTGAAACAGAACTGCTCTTTAATATCAGGGAGAAACAGCCGTGCTGCACTGCTGATAATTCAGCTCAGTCTGTCCATCATGCAGGAAATGCTGAGTGATAGTTGGTTCTAGCATCTGAGAGGTGTGTGCAGGGGCCAGGGCCCAGGCAGCTCTTATTTTATACAAGGTCATTGTTGTGCAGACTCCATTGTAAGGGCCCAATATGTCTAGACTGCCAACTAGAATGGCCCATTGCTTATACAGAACCTGTGTTCCTTTTGGCATATGAGATTTACAAAGATTTACCAACTGAAATTGTGAAAAGGAATAATCTCTGAGAAAAATAGTTGGTAAGGTTGGGGTTTACCTGAGTAATTTTATGTTTTAGAACTTTCATTTGGAACATAATTTCAAGGGCTTTGTTCACATGTCTGGACTAATGTAGTAGAGGTTATTCTTATACCTTTGTTAGTGTGTGGCTTGCTGTTATTGGTAGAAGTCATCACTATTTTTTGTCCTATTTTATTGCACACCATCTCAAAACTTCATAGCTTGCTCCTAAAACCGATCTCTTAGCAAGTAAATAGAGATGACTTTTTGTTTGTTTTTTGAGATAGGGTCTCCTGTAGCCCCAGATGGCCTGAAACGTGCTATGTAGACCAGGCTGGCCTCCATTTCACAGAGTCCGCCTATCTCTGCCCCCTGAGTGCTGGGATTAAAAGTGTGTACCACCATGCCGTTGAGATGACTTTTTCAAAATCTCAGTGTCCAGTTCTTTAAACTTCTTTTACCACAAATCATAAAATTTTGTTAGTTAGAGAGGGTTTTGGCATTTCTGCTGTCTTTGGTTGCTGCATCTTGGAATGTTTTACAAACCTTGTCTTTAAGCTGGTGAAGTTTTGGTTTTTTATGCACTAGGAAGAATAGACCTGATTTACATAGAAAAGTAAAAGGGCTGATTTACAATAAGAATTTGTTGTTTTCCCACTAGCTGACCTCAGGACCTTTGATAAGTCATTTAACCCCTCCAAGCTGCATTCCCCCATGTCTAAAAGGGCATAGTGTCAATGTACTGCTTATAAAGACTTAAAATGTGTTATGAACTAATTTTTACAATAACACGGGAAGTTTCAAAACTAGAGAATTGGGTTTCATTTTTCTCTTAACTGCCTAGACAGTTTAGATTAGGGGATGGTGCCTCTGTCACGGTGTGCTCACTTGGGTACTTTTGGTGGAATTTGAAAGCCTCATCAGTGTGGTTGTTCCAAATGGCTCACATTTTGGTAATAGTTTCTTTGTAAAAGTTAAGATTGCCATCGTTTATTCTTAACAAAGAGAAATCCGAACTTTAAAATTTCTCTTGGAAAAATCAACACACTTCAGCGGTAGCATAGAGGTGCTGCAGCACCCCCTTGTGGCAAATGGAATGAAGTGCTGTTTGAGCCCTGAATCTGAGACTGAAATCAGAGTGCTCTAAAATCTGAAACTTCTCGAGCCCCATAAATCATAAATCATAAATCTGATGATTCATTGTACACAAACTTTGTTTCATTGGAAAAATTCTTGAAAATATTGTGTAAAATTGTGTCCAGTTTGTGTAGTGGTATATACAATGCAGATGAGTTTTGTGTTTGGACCTGAGTCCCACCTGGAGGAACTCATTATGTATATGGAAGTGTTCGAAAACAAAAACCCAGTTCTCATTTCAAGCCCTTAGCATAAGAGACGTTCGATCTGTAGTTTTTTGTTATGCTTCCAGTTAACAGAGGAATCTTGATTAAATTGACATGAGAAATTTACCAAGAATAACAAATATTAGCTTATAAATTATATCAAATCACTGTGAAAATAGTGTTTTTAATCTTGTTTAAAATTGTAATTTTGAACACATTATTTCTCCATTTAGAGAAATGTTTTAGGGACGAGCACTCAGATTTAAAAAAAAAGATATAAATATGGAATTTTGGTATTGTGTTGATCTGGTTTTTCATTAAATAGAAATTTTCAGACCAAAACTACATACCAAATGTCAGGTTTTGATACATTCTTTTGTTTGTAAGCCTTCTTTATTACTTACTGGCTCTTGCCCATTTCAGGCTCTCCTGATCCCATCTATTAATATGTTCTCCTTCTTTTAATCCACCAACTGTGCATGTTAGGCATTGCAATAAAAGCATGCCGTTCAGTGTTTATCTACTAGAGGAGAGGGCAGACCTTGGCCAAATCCTTACAGTGCAAGTGAGGAATGTTACAAAAAGTCAGGAAATGGGCTCCTAGGTGTAAGTAATGGGCAGTTACCCAGCTGTGGTGTCCAAGAGGGATGCTTAAGCCTAGGCATGAAGGGTAACTTGGATAGTACATGGAGGACAGACAGAATGGAGAAATGGCTCAATGCAAAGGAACAGCAAGTTCAGAGATGCCAAATAGAGCAGTGAAGCCAGAGTATGAGCAAGGAGAGGAAAAATAGGGAAGTGCTATATTTTGTATCCACAAGAAAGTATTTGAGACATTTCTAGGTAGGAAGCCTCGACTTCAACAACAACTTTGTTTATTTGCTTTTGAGACAGAATGTCAGTATAGTACAGGCTAGCCTTGATCTTGTAGACTTCCTGTCTCCACATCCCTGCCTGCCTTGTAAACTCAGCCTTGGTGCATTGAGGAGCATGGAGTGGAAAGGTAGTATGCTTACAGAGACCTGGAGAAAGTTCCTGCACCATGAATTTCTCTCTAGAGTAGGTAGCTAGTGCGGTGCCGTCTCTCCTCCATGTGGCAGGTACTCAGTGTTGTTCTAGTATAGAGCAGATGGAGTGCAGAGAGCGGTATACGCAGCTTTGTTTACAGAAAGGCAGCAGTTTGGCTCTGGACATAGTTTGCCAATCCCTGATCTCCATTGTGTTAGGGATGAAGACACATGAATAAGCGTGAGGGGAACCGAGGAAGCATAGTCTAGTGTGATTTGATCATGGATTTGTTTTAAGAGAGGGTGCGATTGTGAAGTGAAGTTGGTTTTTCAGGTTTCTGAGTTAAACAATTGTGTGAATGGCACAGCTGGTAAGTAGTGTTGTTAAGATGATGGGTGCCACAGGGTAACTTACTTGGGATGTGTGGGAATTCACATAGATGCTCATTTGTACTGGACCATGAGAGTGCCAGATGGTCTGGGCTAGAGAAATTCATGTTGAATTTCAAGAAATTGTTGAATAAATGAATGAATGTACTTTCTGGGTAAATGGTGGATTGTTAGTTGTTAGTGCCTGAATTATGTCTTTACCTCCTTCTTAAGGTCTTTCCTCTTTTTCTTCTTCTAGGCAGAAACCACTAATACTAGCTTCCTGCAGGTACAGCTGGAATGCAGTTTACATAATAAAGTGTGTCAGCAATTAAAGGTAAAACAAAATATTTAGTATATCCTGTTTTCTTTCCTGCCTCTGCTTAAAAATACAAATCAGCTGGGCATGGTGGTACACGCCTTTAATCCCAGTACTCGGGAGGCAGAAGCAGGAGGATCTCTGAGTTCAGGGCCAGCCTGGTCTACATAGTGAGTTCCAGGACAGCTTGGGGCTACAGGGAGACCCTGTCTCAAAAAAGACCGGGAAAAAAAAAAAAAAAACAAACCCACAAATCAAAACAATATGTTGTATTCTCACCATAAACATGCTGTTGCCTTATGTGCTTTTCTTGAGAAAAAAAAAAAAATTGAAACCACAAAGTTCAGATGTTTTTTTTATTTAAAATTTTTATTTTGTTCCTCATCCCTCCAACTTCAGAGCTGCTATCTGGAATCTGATGATGTTTTACACTTAGAAATGAGCATCATTGTAGCAGTGGAAAACTCCTCAAAGGAATTTGAAGAAAACACTCAAGACCTACTAGATCATCTCTCTATTGTTTATGTAGCTACAGATAAATCTGAGACCTTAGGTAAGGTGGAATCTAAACTTTTGACTGTGGCCTGGGGATGTAGCTTGGTGGTGGAGTGTGTCCTGGGTTTATTCTCCACCCACATTGCCAGAAATTAAAACATAAAAGCCCTTTTCATTGAAGTATGTCCGAATTAATGTACATCGTTATTCAAAAGCATCTAATTGTCAGTTATATTACAGCAAACCAAGACAGAGAGCCTTGCTTTAAGTAAACTGTGGTGCCACCTGGTTCTCAACCTGCAGCCACACTCAGTTCAGGGAAGTTCAGTGACCACTGCAAACTATTTTGAGTCTCCTTTGGAATAATTTTTTTCTTGGCATTTTGCAGATAGCAAGCACATTAAATGGGCATGACTGTCTAGGATAAATATTGACGAAATATTTGAGGCCATGTGTCTTATTCCAGAGTCGCAGAAGCTCAATTGACCAAATCATGCTGTTTCGTAGTCGATAGCCTGTTGTTTCTGGATGCTTGACAAGTTGGAGGAGAATTTTAGCATTTAGTTCCATGAATTTTTCTCTTTGAAAACATGTTTTCTACTGTGCAGAAAAGCCTATTTAATCAGCTCACCTTTGGAAGAATTTTGACAGGAGACACATACTGTGTGATACATAAATTCATAATGTAGAATTTGGTGTTGTCCTTTGGTTATGACAGCTTGTCTGATTTGTGAGTATATATTTATACTCATTTAAAGAAAGAAATTATATGACGGACATAGAAAAACAGCCATTTATTTGCAGTCAGCAGTGCCCCTCCCCCCATAATAGTGGGCACTGAGCCTAGGGCTTTGCACACACTAAGCCGTGTACTGTACCACTGAGCCACAACCTCCAGCCCTAATTGATGGTCCATCATCATTTTCCTTCTGGCTTCAGACTTGACTGTAGTGGTGACAGACCTTCCCTGTCCTCAGGTTTATAGTTTGGTGATTCTTGTAATAGCTAGGTTGGCACCAAGGCCAAGGTGTCTCTCCAGTGGGGATGCTGCTGTTGGTAAGACCCAAGAGGAGCCTGGTTCAGGATGCCAGAGTTCAATTCCCCCCAAGTGTGTTTGTTTAAATGAGGAAACAAGTGGCTGTCCTGTTGACAGGAGAGTATAACTTGACTTGAAGCTGTCTAGTTGGTTAGTTTCCTTTAGACAGAACAGAGTATGACCCTAGGCTCAATTTCTGTCCTGTGTGGTGGTCATCATGGGAGAGAGCTTTAAGACAGTCTTTTATAGGTTCTTGTTTTTATAACTTAAAGAGTATCCATCCCACATACATGGGGCTCTAGGTTCAATCCATGTACCACATACACTCATACACACATCCCAGAATATCCCAAAGAAAATGACTCTTTATTTCAATTTTAGTGTTGAAAAAACAGTAGCTTTTTTGTCTTTTTAGAAATGGATCATGTAATCAGTTAACTGTGCTGAGTTATGGGGATTCTATAGCTCTTTGTTTTAACCTTTTGCTCTGATTCTTTTTGGACAGATGAGTCTGCAGTAAATATGTATGTATTGCATTCAGGAAACAGCCTTATTTGGATACAGGTAATTCAGTGCTTATATGAAGTAATTTTGAAAGTACAAGAGTGCATTTCACTGCAGGACCTGAGGTCTTCTCAGGGACATATGCAGCTATTCTCTTTAATTCCTTTGAACCCACTGTCCCTTGCTTGAACACCATTTATATGGAGGTTGTTAGTGTCCTCTTTCTGCTGTTCTGGACACATCTGCTGACCAATTGCTAGGAATCTTACTCTATGTAGTTTACTTATTTTAACACAGTGGGTTCAACTGGGTACTTTTCTCCCGTTGAGAATAATAATTCAGATTTATTTCTTGTTGTTACAGGATGTACATCATTTCTCACAGAGAAATGCTCTGTCTCTGCAGTTTGAACCAGTACTACTACCTACTTCTGCAACAAACTTTACAAAAATTGCCTCTTTTACTTGTAAAGGTACCCATTTAAAAACTATTGGAGATATTCTTCTATTATCTAGTTGTTTAATTGGCTTCATTCTGTGCAGTAACTTACAGGTACAGGCAAGGTATATTTTAAAGAAAGCAAATGGGTTTGGTTTCTGTAAATCACATCTTTCAGTTTCTCAGAGATAGTGGATCAAAAACTGGTGTGTATGCTGTCTGTATTCTGCCATGCAGGATTCTGAATTTAAAGCTTAGCTTGGTAACCTGCAGTTTGGTCTGTCTATTGGACGTGCTGCTTTAACACATAGCCGAGTCACAGGCCCAGGTTCTATCTGTGTGACAGAATGTGATGAAAAATGTTTATTGACTTCCTAGGCTAGTATAAACCCAGCCTTCTATTCAGGTTCTTACAGTTAAAGAGAGTTCTGTAAAATAATTCACATGGAACATGAGAAACATGCTCGGTCTCGCTCATATTTTTAAAAATACTCTATATTTTATTTTATGTATATGAGTTTTTCCTGCACTTAGTAAGTGCTCTACAAGTGTACAGGGCCCGTGGAAGCCAGAAGAGGGTGTCCGATCTCCAGGGACTGGAGTTATGGATGATTGTTAGCTTCCATGTGGGTGCTGAAAACTAAACCTGGGTCCTCTAGAAGAATAGCAAAGTAACTGAGCCATCTCTCCAATTCCTTCCCCCTCAGCCTCACTCATATTTTCAAAGAAGTGTAATTTAAAGCTATGAGTGGGATATAATTTATTACAGAGATCAATAAAGATTTTAAAGGTTGTTGGTATTTTCTGCATGCCTGTCTTTTCACTACCTGGTGAATTTCTCTCTCACTGTGTCACCTTAGGAACACTTGGGGACTTTCCTCTTTTTTTATGGTGAAGATAGATCTTTGTAAAGGAAAAGCTTCTAAATATTCACTTCAACATTTTTCCCTAAAAGAAGAAATGGAGGGCAGGGGAGTGTTTTAAAGTGAGGCAGGCAGTAGTGTAAATGTAGTCCAGATGACTGGCGGGAAGCCAGGACAGGAAAGATGGAAACACGAGAGGCAGTGTGTACCTTACATTCCGTTTTAATGGAGACAGGATGTGAATTAAAAAGGTGCAAAGTAAGTCTTTCTTATTTCTGTTCAGATTTAATGAAAGAAAAGATTTCCCATTTATTTCTTTATACCAAAAGCAGGTGCATCCTGTGACAGCGAACTTATAGAAGGTTTGAAGAAAAGAAAAACCACTCCAACACTAAAAGCATGCCTCTCCTCTCCTGTGGTTCAGGGGTAGGTTCATTCCACTTCTCCTGAAACCTGGGTGTTTCCATCTAGAAATGCATCAAAATGTGACTCATGTAACATATTATTCTCTTTCTGAACTTACACCTCCTGGTGTTAGCATACTGATGTAGCAGAAGGTTTCTTAGAGAATTGGGAAGCTAGGCTAAATAACTCAGTTCATGAAGCAGGCATGCAAAGGGACCTGCTCCTGTGGTGTCTGAGTTGTATTTGGGTACGGATTTTGCCCTGTTCGTACATAGCCAGGTCACTTCAGCCTGGTCTACAGTTGCCCCATGGGTGAGCCAGAAGATTGAGGGGCATGATGTCTGTAGTTACTTCCAACAAAGATGAAGTTTTCCTCTGCTCTCATTTGTCATTTGGAGGCTCCTTAAACAGGGAGCTCTCCTGCACACAAGGTTGATAGCATGCATGTCTTGTATTCACAGGTATTTCAGAGTGGAGTCCTCCACAGCCCAGTTTCACATAGAGAGTCATGAGAACACATCAGGTGTGTGGTCCATATGGTACCGCAGCCATTTGGACCAGAGTGTTATATTAAAAGATGTGTTTGTTTCCAAGGAGATCAAGCACATTTTAAAGGTATATATAGTGCCTCCCCCAAGTTGGTTTAAAAAACTGTTTAAAATTATGCTGTGAAATTAGTATATGTAACATTTTATTTTGACTTGTAATTTTTAAAGCAAATATAGTTTTGACATTTTCATAGTTACTTTTAGGATCTCACTCCCTGTCTTCCTCTCTCCTTTGCCCCCCTCTCCCTCTTTCCCCCTTTCCTCTCTCACCTCTGCTCCTCCTCCCTCTTCCTCTCCCCTGACTTCCTTCCCTCCTACTTCCCTTTTCCCTCTTTCAAGTATGCCAGATTTATAATTAAAATACTCAGTTTTCATAAAGTAACATTTTATAAAAATGTCAAGATTTTTTTGGACATTTGAAATAGTGACATAAGAAATATTTGAGTTTTGATCTGGATGGAATGGAGTAAAATCCTACTTTCCAAAGTATGGAACAATTTAAGCATCATGCTTTATAATGATTTGAGTCCTAATTAGTGTTAGGAAAAGTAATCTGTCTTGCTTCTTTTCTTTTTAGATTGCGAATTTCACTGGCCCTTTATTTCTACCTCCAGGCTGTTGGAATATATTTTCTTTGAAACTTACTGTTAAAGACACTGTCATAAATCTGTTCACCAATGTATTTTTGACTACAAACACAGGTGCCATTTTCGCAATACCTCTACAGATATTCTCGGCCCCAGCCAAGGTATTATTTACAACACTATGTGTGCTGTAGTGCTTTTTAATAACCACAGAGTTGCCCTTTAGCCACTTGTGGTGCTGGGATTTCATTAACTTAGTTAAGTTCATATGCTTTAAGACTATCCAAGAAATTGAAGAATATTACTAGACCAATCAGATGATAAAAATTTGTTGAGTTATGGAAATCCTTATTTAGAAAGGCTTTTTTTCATGAAGTAATTTAAGATTATTTAATAAAATTAATCATTACCAATAGAGTGATCAATTTTATTTTTATTTCTAAAAGTTTTTCCCTGCTTTTGCTGCTGAGGATCAACTTAGGGTTTTGTGCGCACTAGGAGAATGTTCTACTATTGAGCTTCATCCCCAGCTCTTATTCCAAAAGTTTTAAAGTAAGGAATATTTGCTTGCTGTGGAAAACATGGTTGAACTAATACGTATTTACAGTGACTTCAAGTAAATTATTCAGTGTTTTAAATGGACTTCTTTTAAGTGGCTCTCAGTTGCTCATAATCCTTAAATTTCCTTAGTGAATCAAGGCTAAAACCTGAAAGGTTCATTAGAGAATTCTTTCTAAAATCTTGGCAAATCATGTACAGTTTAGATTATTTTAAACATGCCTCATTTTTTCCTTAATGTTTATTTTCATTAAGTTGTTACTGCTTCCTTTTGATCCAAGCTATTTTGTGTAACACTGGGCTCTAATTTTCCACTTTAAGACATTCATGCAACCATCTTTATGATTTTTTTCTCACTTATAGTGTTAATGTTTCATAGTTAGAAATGCCTCACAATTAACCAAGAGTGTGAAGGTAGGACTTTGCACATCAAACTCAGTAATAAGGTTCATTCTGTTTAGCCATATTTTGAGCAGGGGAGATTTCTTGGGAATAGCCTCTTCTAGTCAAGAGATGCATATAAGAAGGTTGATCATGGGGGAGAGCAGGAGACAGGCCTCAGGAGTATGTGGAAGTCGCAAGCGTACGCTCTCCGGCCCTATAGAAAATGAGACATTCAGCTAAGAATTAATACAGATTGGCATACTGTGTTTCAGAGGATTAGAGTACAATTGAAGACAGAACACAAAACCACCAGGAATGTCCTGAGTCTAATTCATATGGCAGCTTGGCGTCTTGTGGACCCAAGGGTTGTCATTCGAGGCATTGATGATTGTGCAGCATCCACTGTAGTGGCCCTTCCTAGGAGAGGCAGTGCAGACACCCCTGAACTGATAAAGAACCAAAGAAATTGCTTCCTAGGTATTTGGCCTCTGATGAAGGTGGAGGCCAATGTCTGCTTCGTATTTTAGTGTGTTAGGATTTTTATGCTGAGTATTGTGTTTTAAGTTATTCATATATTACTTTTCAATCTAGGAAGGGAGTCTGGGTTTTGAAGTGATAGCACATTGTGGCATGCATTATTTCATGGGAAAATCAAAAGCAGGTAAGTATTTTGCTTTAGGCTTTCTGTAGCACTCCAGTTTGGGGGGTATGGGAAGCAGTGAGAAGTTAGCATTGTAGATGGAATAATTAATTCTGTTAAAGCAATTGCATCATTCTGTTCTTAGCATGATCCCTGACTGCAGACCTAAAATAATTAAGAGTTCTCCAGATTCAGCCATGGTACTTGTAAAAATAAGAATGTCCTTTTTGTGTGGGTAGCTTATGCTTTTGTGAGGGGTTAAAAATAATATTGTTTGATAATAGCCTCCTTATCACCAGGAAAAATTGGAAAATTTGGATTCTTGTAGGAAAGACCTGAAGGAAGTTAGAGTAACTGGGAATTGCATTTGCAGACTTAAAGCATAGGGTCATCAATGTCCACCAAGGTGCTAATCGTGGTGTTAGGCTGAAGGCTATGGTATTGATTTGGAAACTGTTCCTAGTCTTTGGTTTATTTTTATTTCAATATTTTTGCATTTTGATTTACAAAGATATCTGATATAAGGACAGTTTTAAAGTACAGATCTGTCTTTGGGAGATTCCACCTTTTTTCCTGGAACACTGTTTAGTGGAGACAGGACAGAGCAGATGTGTAGTGGTAAGGTGACTCATAGAGCAGCTTATGAACATGCATTGTGAGGATCAAGCCTTGGTCTGTGGCCTCTTTCTGATGAGATTTGCTGTTTGTCCCTCCACATGCCCAACCTACATACACCCTGAAAGATACAGGTGTTGACAAACATTTCCACGGAAGCAGTCCTGCATTTTAGATTTGAAGCTGTTAAGAGTGTTGCAAGCATAGTTTTAACTCAATCTCAGGCTGTGTTCATGAGCCATGTGTCTTTTATGTTTCTACCTTCACATGATTCAATTTCATTTTATTTTCTACATGTTTGTTTAATTTGATGTATCATGTGCCATTAAGTTAGAGGGAAAGCGACAACACTTACTCCACAAGCCTTTTAGTTTTCAGAGTTAACAGTCAGCCCTTGGCATTTTTACTAATTTAATTGTACTTTCTGTAAATCTGAATCTTGAATCTGGTCTCACTTTAGAAAATCCTGATTGGGCTGGGAGCCTTTCTCTGGATCAGTCTACCTGGGGTATGGATTCTGAACGTGCAAATAATCTGTATGAAAGATGGAAGAAATACAAGAACGGGGCCGTCTGCAGGTGTGTCTTCATAGCTCCTCTGTGGCTTCTCAGGGAGGAGAAGCTTCGTAGTACGTTACTGAATGGCATGTGACTCTTCGGGATTGGTGATAACTCTCTCCATTGGTTAATTTGTACAAAATGTCAGATCTCAAAAGTTGAAAGGACGCCACCAGCCATGGTGGTACACGCCTTCGATCCCAGCAGCCTAGAGGCAGAGTCAGGTGGATCTCTGTGAGGTGGAGACCAAGCTGGTCTGCATTGTGAGTTCTAGGCCAGCGGGGGCCTCGGAAGACCCTGTCTTTTAAAAAGAAAAATAGTTGAAAGGACAGTGCAGAGAATACTCAGCTAGATTTTCCTCACTAGGTGATCAGATTTTGCCATTCTACATTTCTGTCTTTGTGTATACATATATGTTCACTGACGTGCGTTTTTGCTGAGTCATTTGAAGATCAGTAGCAAACATCTTACTTGAGCCCCTTGGTGCCTTACCAGGAAGATCTTTGCTCGTCATACGTCAGCCTTCATCACTTCATTAGAAAATTACCGATTTTGTAAAGAGAATATTCTGTTACATATTTGTGCAGCCAACAAACCTGAGCATTGATATATAATCTATACTCCACACATCATTTCTCAGCTGGCTAAATAGTGTCTAGTACAGGTTTGTTTCCCTTTCAATTCAGGTTCATTCAAGGCTAGTTTCTACAGCTTTAGGCTGATGCCCTGCTGTCTTTATTTTTCATCATATTGACATATATTTTTTTTTTAATGAGTTCAGGCCTGTTAGTTGTCTTATAGAGCATTCCACACTGTGGATTTTTTTAAAATCTCCTCAGGGTTATCTTCAGGTCAAACCTTTTTAGCCGGAATACTTAATTCTATGACTGGAGAGATGGCTCGGTAGTTAAGAGCACTGGCTGCAACCTGGGTTCAGTTCCCACGGTAGCTCACAACTGTCGATAACTCCAGTTCTAGGAGATCCAACACCCTCTTCTGGCCTCTGTGTGCATTGCATGACACTAGTATGCTTACGTACATGCAGGCAGCACACACACACACATAAAATTAAAAATTTTTAAATTATTAAAAAGATTTTAAATTTAAAAATTGTGAAAACCCTTAATTCCCTGGCTGGTCTTGTATCTCTATTATTGCATCACATCAAAAGGTACGTAAATGTTAGTTTCTCCTGTATTAGCATTAAGTTGAATTAGTTGTTTTAGGTGATGCGTTTTAAGGTCTCCACTTTTGAGATCTTTTTCTTTTGTAGTAGTCATCTGACCATTTGCTGATCCCTAAGACTGTTTGAAGCCAAGCTTTAGTGTTCATGGGTAGTTCTTGCCTCAGTTGCTTGTTAGACTACGAATGGCCATGCTGCTAATTATTTTGTTCATTGTACATTTATCAGCACATGCCGTGTGTGTTTTTGAGCATCGTCATAGTTTTCAGTTCATATGTTTATCTATTTCTGCCACTGTTTTGCTAAACACTCATAAGTGTTTGGATGTACATACCTGTTCACGTTCTTGTAGAGGCTAGAGGTGGACATTGCACATGTGTGTCGTGTCCGTCGTCGCCCCCCCCCCCCAAGTCTGTCTGTACTTGAGATGGTCTCCCACTGAACCTAGAGCTTGCCATTTTTCAGCTAGGCTGTGATTGCAGGTATATTGGCGGCCATGCCCAGCTTTTTATGTTGGTGCTGGGAATCTGAACCCAGGGCCTCGTGCCTCTGTACCAAGCACTCTTACTCACTGAGCCATCTCCCCAGCCCTGCCGTGGTAAATTTCAAATTTGCTGTGGTTGTCCTTTAGGGTGGCTTGCATGTCTCTTTGATATGGTGCCAAAGTTGCAGTCATTCTCTGAGCACTTCCTTGCTTTTCCAGAAAACAGATGCTCTATTGTCAGTTTTTTTTCTTTAATGTGCATTTTTGTTTATTTAATGCCAGACATTGAATTTGGAGTCTCCCACTTGTTAAATGTGTGTACTACCTCAGATTCAGTCTTCCACCCTGTCTTTCCCAGATACAGCATAATCCATTTTTCCCTAGGAACTCTTGTTGCTTTTAGAAGGAATGATATTTAGTATCTTCTCTTTACTTAATGTAAATTTATTTTCCGTAATCATTTCTTTTTTTTTTTAAAATCCATTATCCAGGAGGAATGTTCTGGGAATGACTCAGTTTGCCTATGCAAAGAAATCCAAGGAGCCGGAGTCCTTTATTTCCTTTTTGCCTCGTTTGGTCACAGAGCCTGGCCTTGTGTTGAACTTCAGCGCCACCGCCCTCAGGAACAGTGTGGTAAGGACAGTGTGTCTTGACCTCCTTTGTCAGCGCTACCAAGTCTTGAGCTTTCAGAGTGCTAGGGTGTTTCTACCTGGAGATTTGTTATGAAAGAAAATTGATTGAAGCTCATACACAGATGTCATTAGGACTTTGTGTTAGGACGTATCAAATGAACAGATCAAGAGAGACACTAAGTACACAGCCTTAAAAGCATTGAGTGAAAAGAGGTGTTGAATGGAATGTGAATTTCGTAAGTAAGTGTGTGAGGTAGGTGAGTATTCAGCGACTGGCAGCCAAAGAGAGCCTTAGACACTGGCTGAAACAAGTCTCAGTGTCGGGAAGCGAAGCTCAGTATAAGGAAATCCAGAGTGAGCCAGGCCGCCTTGTGATGCTACCAGGGACCTTGGCTCCAGTATCTGTTGACTTTCATCTTAGCAGCGTTGACCTTCTTCTGTAATGTGCTTTTCCCATCTAGCCTGGATAACAGGAAAGGCAGAGGGAACATAGTACTACCAGTGGGCTTCCATTCCTTCCATGGCCTTCAATTAAGTACATTGCAAGTAGAGTTACAAACCTTACCTCTGCTCACGGAGTTTCTCAAGGGTGCTGTTTCTTTAGTTTTGCCTTTTTTTTTGCCTTTTTTTTTTTTTTTTTGGTCTTTTTGAGACAGGGTTTCCCTGTAGCCCCAGCTGGCCTGTGACTCACAGAGATCCGCCTGCCTTTGCCTCCCGAGTGCTGGGGTTAAAGGCATGTGCCACCATGCCCAGCAGCTTAATTTTTTGAAATAATTTCTTAGAGAAAAGTTTCAAGAATCATATCAGGAACTCCCAATTGCTCTTTACCAAGATTCCCCACTAGTTTTTATTAGTTTGTGTTTGTGTGTGTGCACGTGCCAGCATATCACAGGATACATGGGGGTCAGAGGACAACTCTCGGGAGTCAGTTCTCTCCTTCCACCATGTGAGGATTGAATTCATTTCACCAGGCTCTGCAACAAGTACCTTTATCCTCTCACTGGCTCAAGATTCATCATTGTTTAATGCCAGATTTTCCTGATCATTCCCTCCCTTTTCACACACACACACACATCTTTATGAACTATTGCATATTAGACTTTGGGTTGCCCTTCCTCTAGCTATTCCAGAGCATGGACATTTACTTACATAATCAGAGTATAAAATGAAACATCATTCTTATTATAGTTTGCTTTTTTAAAAAAAGAAGATTTATTGGGCCGGGCATGGTGGTGCATGCCTTTAATCCCAGCACTTGGGAGGCAGAGGCAGGCAGATCTTTGTCAGTTCAAGGCCAGCCTGGGCTACTTAGTGAGTTCCAGGACAGCTGGAGCTATAGGGAGACCCTGTCTAAAAAAAAAAAAAAAAAAAGATTTATTTTTAAATTTGTTACTGAATTTTGGTATATTTCATCCAGAACATCTTAATCAACTTTATACTCCTTCCCCATTGGCACCCGCCTAACCCCTATAGTTTGCTTTCTATTACTGTAACAAAACACTGACCAGGGCAACTTGAGGAAGAATAGATTTATTTTAGATTACAGGTTACAGCCAAGGCAGAACTCTAGGCAGGAACTTGAAAGAGAAACCATAGGGGAATGGTGCTTACTGGCTTGCTTCCAGGCTCACATTCCTACCTTTCCTATACATCCCAGGCCCACCTGCCAAGGGATGGCACTGCCCACAGTGGGCTAGGCCCTCCTGCATCAATTAGCAATCAGGAAAATGCCCCATGGACATGCCTACAGGCCAATCTGATGAAGAAAATTCCTCAATTGAGGTTCCCCCTTTCCAGGTGACTGTAGGTTTGTGTTGACCGCTGAAGCTAACTATGACAAATGCCGCTATCTCCATTCTGTATTTAAGGTTTTCTAGTGAGCTCACTAGCTTACCTTGCAAGGATCTCCTCCCTCTCCACACAGCTTAGGATGCAGCCTAGGATCTCATTGCATTGTCCTTTCGGTCTGTTTTAATCTTCCTGGGCTTGGTCTTTCTTTTCTTTTTATTGTGTATTCCCCCTTCCCCCACCCAGTGGTTAAACCCATGCTAAACATATTTTACCCATGAGCTACAACCCCAGCCAGTATGGATGTGTTTTGAAGTCTTTAAGCCATTTACTTTCTAAGCTGTGTGATGGCTGTCTTGGTTCTATTCAGCTTATGTTCTCTTTGGGCAGGAATAGGTCAGGAGGATGCGGAGTTCTTCACTCTGTTAACTCACCTCTCCTCCAATCTAGGTGAAGTACTTTGTGGTGAGGAACCCATCCTCTCGACCAGTCTCCTTGCAGCTCCTGCCTCTGTCCCTGTACCCGAAACCCGAAGCTGCAGTGCGCCTGCTGCACAAATGGTAGGAAGATATTGGACAGGCTTTTGGGAAACACTGATGACACTCGGTTACTCAAAGTTCTGTACTTCTTTCTCCCAGGCTCTGTGTGGTAGGACCCAGTATTGAGCCCCTTGGTGCGTGTCACTTAATGGAAGGCCCTGGCACTCTGTTGGGTGGCAACATCATCACTATGTCAGGTCTACCATTCAGTGAAACAGTCTGTCCTTCAATTAGGGAACCTCTATCATGATTTTTCACATGTCCTTCTAATTTGAGGATCTTTTAAATTATGATGATCTTTGGGTAGCACAAGAAGTGAGTTTGAAGTCAAGTGCAAGTGGTGTATGCCTATAATCCCAGCACTTGGGAGATTGAAGCAAGGAAGACCGTGCGTTTTAGGCCAGCCTGGGTAACATAGTGAGACACTTATCTCAAAAACTAGAAGTGAATTCCATGTTGTATCTTCTAATCTAGACTTAAATGAGATGTTAATAGCATTTACTCAAGTTTAGTGAATTTTGCTTTCCTGGAAACATACTAGAACATTCTCCTCTTGGTTTAGAAAGATGTATTGCTGACTTGATCCTAGGATTTCTCAACTTCAGCACTACTGACATTTCAGAGCAAATTTCCTCTTTTCAGAGGAAGAAGGGGCCATCCAGTGTATTGTGGGATGCTCAGCAGTGGCACTGGCTTCTGCTTACTTGAGGCCAGGACACCTCCCAGCCATGGCAACCAAGTGTCTCCAGACACTGCCAGCTGTTTTCAGAGCATAAAGTTGCCTTTGGCTTAGAGTCACTTCAAGTTCCATAGTTGTGAATCATTTGGAGGAACCAGTATTGCTTCCTATTAGGATCTGTGTTTCTTTATATTCTGGGCTGCCCAAGTCATTCACTGAGTAATATTTACTGAACACATACACTATGACAGGTGTGGTGGTGGGTATAGAATACAGCTGAGATTGAAATGTGTGTGTGTGTGTGTGTGTGTGTGTGTGTGTGTGCTCCTTTGTATGTAAAGATATGTATGTACACACATGTTATTCTTTATTGGCTGATCTTATTGCTGTTTTGAACATTGGGGTTTTTGTTGTTGTTGTTTTTTTTTTTTAGGTTTGGCACAAATATGCAGATGATTAATTTCACAACTGGTGAATTCCAGCTCACCAAAGCTTGCCCTTACCGGGTAGGATGTCATCTTCAAACATTAAAAAGTGTTGACAGACTAACAGCAGAAGCAGTGGGCCTCACTGCCTCGGGTTTCAGTGTTTTCATGTTGTGTGTGGCTCTCATTTTCCTTCTCTAGGCATGAAGCATACGTAGCAGATTTTTCCAGTTACCTAGTGCAGCAGCACTCGTTAGCCTGTGAACCATTTTAATGTGATGGGTTAGAGTCATGCGGATGAAAACAGTTGAATCAGAGCTATATAGAAAAACATACAAGTAGAGGTCCTAGAATTTGTAAATCTTCTAAGGATTCCTTGGTCCCTTCACTTTCTTTTTTAATGCATTATAAAGGTAAAAACAAATACATTTTTCAAGCCTTCTTAGTAGTGATCATCTTAGTGTATCTTAGTGATTTGAGTAGTCACTCAATTACATCCATTAAAAAGGATTGCTTTTCAATTCTTAAGCCTCTAGGTAACTGTGAGATTTTACCTAAATACCTAGGAATGGACTAAAAAATACCTTACAATGAGTGTGTTGCCATGGGAGTCAGCAACCTTGTTTCTTAGTTTCTACTCAGTAGTGAAGGATTGGTGTCATAGATAATGTGTGTTCAAGACCAAAATTAGAGCAGCAATAAGAATGCATATAAATGTGTACAAGCACGTGTCTTCTTTCTCTGCCCTGTTCTTCCCAAACTATGCTGTTGATATAGCCTAACTGAACGAACAGCAGGGGAGACCACAGATAACTTCTAAGAGCTCAGATGGATCAAAGCAGGTTTCTAAGTGCATTTTTAATAGAGACTTTTTTAGCCAACAAATTTCCCTTCCCTGAAGTCAGCTGGGCAGCCCTAGAGGGGTAGAACCTTGTGCCAGGCTGGTCATTTTTTCTCCTTAGTGACCCCACCCCTTTCTGTCCTCTTCTTCCCTTTCCCAGGCAGTGTCCAGGGTGATGAAGATAATTAGTTCAAAATACTGAGCAGTGTTTTGCCCTATTGATATGAAATCATATGTACTTTAAAATTGAAAAATAATGCAGTTTATGTTATGTCTGTTCTGTCCAGATTTGAACAAATTGGATAACTCATTTAGAAAAAGTTTGTATTAACAGGAAGAGATTTTTTTTCCCCAAGAACATTATACTTTTGTGATAAGGGAAATTACTCTATTTGTTAACTAATTGCATTGACAAACAGGATAGTATCAGTACCCTAAAGATACCCAAGTTTAATTGGAAATTGTTGTTAAACTTTGTCTTAGGGCTAGAAAGATAGCTCAACAGTTAAAAGCAGTGGCTGTTCTTTCAGAGGACATGGGTTCAATTCCCAACACCCACATGGCAGCTCATAACTGCCTGTAACTCCAGTTCCATGGGTTCTAATGCCCTCATCTTGCCTCCAAGGGCATTTGTACACATGTAATACACATATAAATAGACACACATACATATAAATATTTTTAAAACTGATCGAAAGAAAGGACTGTTTCAGTGTAATTTTGTTGACTTGCTTTTAGAAATACAGTTTCTTTGATTAATGTATGGAACTGGACAGAGTAGTAGGTTTGAATCCTTCTGCCTATGTGAATTGGGAAAATTGCTTCATCTCATCTTTGACCTTTATAATAGCATTCGAAAATTCCATGAGGTTTATAAAATGGATTGCTTGGTATTTTATATGACTTAAATTCAGTGCCTGGCATACAAAAACCCTTTAAATGGAATGCTGCTGTTTACAAATATTATTACATATGTAATAACAAAAGTTGGCAGGTTTTTTTGTTCAGTGTTTATATTATATTCATAAAGCAGGATTTTCTCTTTCATGAAGTTTATAATTTTGACGGAAAAAAAATCCAGCTGTAATGTCATTTATTCTTTCAGATGGCATAGAAAATGGTAGCAATACTTGAAGAATAAAACATTTAAAAATTGAAAGCAGAAAAGAGAAATATTACCACAGAGGTTATTTATTGATAGCTGTGAAAAGTCATTATTTTTCATGAAGAGCTAGAAAATGTAGCACAAAGATTAAAAAAAACTAAACCTTAATATCAATTGCTGCAACACAGCATTTATTTAGAGAAATACCAGAGGGAATAACAACATATGAGTAAATGATCCTTCTTTTAATTGGAAAGACTCGTAAAAAGATGGTTTCTGTAAAGCTTAAATTCACTATTAAAGGTATTCTATGGTATTCTGATGGTGGGTGGGTGGTCTTGTCCAGTTGCTGCAGCATTTACTCAGTGGAAGTCTGAGTTTTGATTGATGTTTTGTATTCAGAGTACTTTTGTATAGGTTTCTATCTCTATCTCCCATCTAAGTCAGGAGGCAAATCTTTCCAGCATCCTGCTCAGACTGCCTGCAGTTGCTACCTATGTTTCTCAGATAAGACACAGAAAGGTATTTATCAGTGTGAACACATTAGGACATTTTAAATAGGTTGATGATTGGGGATGAAATTCACTGGCAGAACACACATCTAGCATGCGAAAGCCTTGATTTTCATCTCCAGCACCACAATAAGGTAGGCTGATAAGGATGTGTGCAGTCATGTTTCTGTCTAGGTGTGCTTAGTGGAAGTGTGAACCTGCTTTGCTGAGGAGTGGAGTTGGTTAAGAGTGTTATCACTAACCTACAGGGTGAACCTTTGGAGGAGTCCAGTTTTGGCACCCTCCACCTGCATTTGCAGCCTTTGGAAATGCAAAGGGTTGGTGTCGTGTTCACGCCAGCTGACTATGGAACAGTTACCTCACTCATCCTGATCCGGTAAGTATGTCCCTGTCACCCAGGCTGTTTCTCTCTCACTGATTCATGTGTCTAATCTCTCTCTGTCTTTTTGGCAGAGAGTTGTTACCTCTCGGTGCAGTGATAGGGCTGTACTGCGGGGTAGGAAGTGGCTGAACAGAGGCACCACTGAGGTCCATCGTACATTTCATTCCAGGGCTTCAGTGCTTCCCTACCCAGGAGGGGAGTGCACCCAGCCTCTGGTCCACTGTGGTGACAAAGGCAGAGCACAAATTCTCAAAGAATCGATTAAGTTAAAAACACACATTTTAAAAAGACAGAACACACACACCTTAGGAAGAAAGATAGTTGATTCACTGCTGTAGACATTTCTACCAATAGTATTTGAACTTCACACCTTTCATTCTCAGTAGCCCCAAAGCACAATAGGAAAGTGCCTCTGACATTGACTCTTTTGACTTTTGAATGGTTGTTACTGATAGCTGGTTTAAGCAGCTAAATGTATTTCATTCTCTAATTTAAAAAAAAAATCATGGGAGCCTAAGAGGGTGGGATCGGACATCCATTGGGGTAGTGGCTCAGAGCTCAGCAGACCGCCAGAGAGTGCCAAGTTCTGGCCCCCCTCTGGCCTCCCTCTGGTATAGGGTTGACAACACATGGACTGCCTGAGAGAGCCTGGATCCTGCCTCCACGTGGTGAAGGAAGCCTGAGTGTACCTGGCTGGAACCTGAATTGGGCTTCTTTGGGTACCCCTGAATAGTTGATCTGAGGCCATCAGTTCCCTCTAAAATAAACCTGTGAGAACCTGAACCCTGTACCAGCCAGCTTTACATAACCAATAAAGAAGGGATCTAGGCACCCGGATAATACAAACAGAAGCATACATCAACTTAATTCTCATATCAGAATCATAAACAACAAAAGAAATTCACATGCTAAAATCACAATGAAAGAATAATAAAATGGAAAGCCAAAACACTATGTCCTTACCAGACCCCACCAATCCTGTAGAAGAGTTCAACAAGGAGAACCCCTTAGAGATAACCCAGGACACTGAATTTAAAAGAACAGTCATAAACATGATCAAGGAATTCAATGAATTTAAAGAACCCACAAACAAATCAAAGAGCTAAAAGAACATAGGGATAAACTTCTGAATGAATTCACAAAAGAGATAGAAACATTGAAGAAAACTCAGGCAGAAATGAAGGAGGAAGTGCAAAACTCAGTAAGCCAACTTGAAACAACAGGGGAAAGCCTCACCGCTAGAATGAATGAAATGGAAAATATAATATCAACACTGGAGGATAAAGTTGAAGAATTGGACCACTCAAGTATGGAAAATTTTAAAAAACACAGAAATGGAATGTGCAAGAGATGTGGGACACCATGAAAAGACCAAATCTACAGATTCTAGGAATAGAGGAAGGAGAAGAATTTCAGGTTAATGGTGTTGACCAGATTTTAAACAGTATTGTAGAAGAGAATTTCCCAAAATTAAGGAAAGACATCCCCATACAAATACAGAAAGTACATAGAACACGAAATAGGATCAGAAAAGAAACTCCCTATGACATATCACAGTAAAAACACTAAATGTACAGAACAAGGAGTACTGAAAGTACCAAAAGAAAAACAAGTCACATACAAAGGAAAGCCCATCAGAATTACAGCTGACTTATAAATGCAGACTATGAAAGCATGGAAAAGACTATTCCAAGTAAATGGCTAAGAAACAAGCAGGGGTTGCAATTCTAATATCTGACAAAATAGACTTCAAAGTAAAACTAGTCAAAAGAGATAAGGAGGGTCACTTCATTCTGATCAAAGGAACAGTTAACCAAGAAGATATTACAATCCTTAACATATATGCACCAAATTCTGGTGCACCCAAATTCATAAAAGCAACACTACAGGACTTTAAGACACAGATTAACCCCAACTCAGTAATAGTAGGGGACTTTAATACCCCACTGCCTCCATTAGACAGGTCAACTGGACAAAGAATAAACAGAGACATGTCTGAATTAAATGATAACCGTACATCAAATGGACTTAACAGATGTCTTTCGATTATTCTACCCAAACATCAAAGAATATACTTTCTACTCAACACTTCATGGAACTTTTTCAAAAATTGACCACATACTGGGCCACAAAGTAAACCTCAAGAAATACAAAAAAGTTGAAATAATTCCATGCATCCTAGCAATCACACTCAAAAATCAACACTGGGCGAAGCCCTAGTCACTACATGAACTCATGGTGATTGAACAACACACTCCTAATTCAGTGAAAAGTAAAATACAACACAACACACCTCTGGGACACATTAAAAGCAGTCCTAAGAGGGAAGTTTATGGCTCTGAGTGCCTACATTAAAAAATTAGAGCCCAAATAAATGACCTAACACTGCAACTCAAGGCACTGGAAAGGCAAGAACAAATGAAACCCAAACCCAGCAGAAGAGAAGAAATAAAAAAAATCAGAACAGAAATTAATGAAATAGAAACAATACAAAGAATCAATGAATCTAAGAGCTGGTTCTTTGGAAACATCACAACAGGCATCAAATGAAAATCTATAATAAGAGAATACTTTATGAACATATGCTCTACTAAATTAAAAAATCTAAAAGAAATGGATGGATAACTAAAATTATTGGAACCACCAAAGTTAAACCAAGAAGAGATCAACAGTTTAAACACACCATAACATATAAGGAAATTGAAACAGTAATACAAAACCTCCCAACTGAAAAAAGCCCAGGCCCAGTTGGATTTACAGCATAATTTTAGTAGACATTTAAAGAAGACCTCCAACCAATACTACTTATATCATTCAAAAGGATAGAAACAGAGGGAGAACTCCCAAATTCCTTCTATGAAGCCAGCATCACCCTAATACCCAAACTGGGTAAAGACACAACCAAAAAGAAAACTATAGACCCATATCCTTAATGAACATAGATGCAAAAATTCTCAACAAAATACTTGCAAACCACATACAGACACACATCAAAAAGATCATTCACCATCATCAAGTAGGCTTTATCCCAGAGATGCAGGGATGGTTCAATATATGCAAGTCATTAAGCGTCATTTATCATATAAATGGACTTAAAGACAAAAACCATATTGTCATCTCAATAGATGCAGAAAAGGCTTTTGACAGAATTCAGCCTGCATTTTTGTTCAAAGTCCTAGAGGGAATTGGACTGGAGGGAACATGCCTCAACATAATTAAAGCTATATACAACAAACCCACAGCCAATATCGTTCTAAATGGAGAAAAACTGGAAGCATTGCCATTAAAATCAGGAACCAGACAAGGATGTCCACTATCTCCACTCCTTTTCAAGATAGTGCTTGAAACTTCCTAGGGCAATAAGACAGGAGAAGGAAATTAAAGGAGTACTAATTGGAAAAGAAGAGGTCAAACTATCACTTTTTGCAGATGATATGATACTATACCTGAGAGATCCCAAAAGTTCTACCAGAAATCTCCTAGAACTGATCAACGCTTTGTTATAGTGACAGGTTATAAAATCAATCTACAAAAATCAGTAGCCTTTGTATATACCAATAATAAGCAATTGGAGAAAGAATACAGGAAAATGCTCCCATTCACAATTGCTGCAAAAAAATTAAAATATCTTGGAATAAATCTGATGAAAGACACCAAAGATCTCTACAGTGAAAATTTTTAAGTCTTTAAAGAGATTGAGGAAGACACCAGGAGATGGAAGGACCTCCCGTGTTTATGGATTGGAAGAATTAATATTGTTAAAATGACCATCCTACCAAAAGCAATATATAGATTCAGTGCAATCACAATCAAAATTCCCATGACATACTTAACAGAATTAGAAAAATCCATCCTTAAATTCATATGGAGGCACAAAAGTCTCCGAATAGCCAGCGCAGCCCTGAGCACAAAGAGCAATACTGGGGGGATTATTATACCAGATCTCAAAGTATACTACAGAGTCATAGTCATAAAAACAGCATGGTACTGGTGCAGAAACAGACACATAGATCAATGGAACATCATAGAGGATCCAAACCTGAGTACACACAATTTCAGCCACCTGATGTTTGACACGGGCCAAGAACACACAATGGAGGAAAGACAGCATCTTCAACAACTGCTGCCAAACTGGATTTCCACCAATAGAAGAACGAAACTAGATTCTTATCTTCCGCCTTGCACAAAAGTCAACTCCAAATGGATCGAAGACCTCAATGTGAAATTGGAACCCCTAAAACTATTAGAGGAAAATATTGGCAGTAACTTACAAGATATAGGTGTAGGAAAGGATTTTCTAAATCAGAAGTTGCTCAGGAATTAAGGTCAGCAATCAACAAGTGGGACCTCGTTAAACTAAAAAGCTTCTGTACAGCAAAAGAAACAATAAAAAAAAGTGAAGAGAAAACCCATAGAATGGGAAGAAATCTTCACCAGTGACATCTAGAATAGATACAGAACTCAAAAAACAAAGAATTGAGAAACCAAATGACCCAATGAAAAGGTGGGCTAAAGATCCAAACAGAGAATTCTCAAAGGAAGAAATAAAGATGACTAAGAAACATCTCAAAAAGTAATCAACATCGTTAAAAATGCAAATTAAAACCATGCTAAGATATCACCCCAGTCAGACTAGCTAGGATCAAGAGAAGAAATGATACCAAATGCTGGTGGGATTGCAAACTTGTGTAGCCTCTATGGAAAACAGTGTGGAGAACTCTTAAAAAACTAAAAATGAACTTATCATATGACCCAGTTATATCACTTCTTGGCATATACCCAACAAACTCATCCTATTGTAGAGACACTTGAACAACAATGTTTGTTGCTGCTCTTTTCACAATAGCTAAGATGGATGCAACCTAAGTGTCCTTCAACTGATGAGTGGTTAACAAAAATGTGGTATATTTACACAAAGGAGTTCTATTCAGCAGTAAAGAAAGATGAAATAATGAAATTTGCAAGTAAATGGATAGATCTGGAAACTGTTATACTAAGTGAAGTAACACAGACTCAGAAAAACAAATGACATATGTTCTCCCTCATATGTGGCTCCTAGCACCAAATCCTTTTAAATTCCAGGTCCTTTTAATAAGATGATGCTATACAGCAGTCCCTTATGCATGAAATAACTACCATCATCACAACTTTGGCTGAACCTGATTGCTAAACATCATCACAGTTGAGCTTGTTGACGGTTGTGCTCATTCATTAAAGGAGTGCCAAGCAGGGTCACTGGACCCTCACCTGAGTATCTAGCCACTCTTCCCAGCCAACTAGTTCAGCCTTGGAAGACAAAAGAAAAATGAGGAGGAACCCAATAGAGGGATGGTTTTGGAAGCTTTTGTCAAGAAACTCCAAGGGACTCTCATATGAACATTTGAAAATTGCCCTGTTCTGACTTTTTCCTATTTCCCTGTCTAGAAACATAATGCTAATTACTTTTGCCTTTACTTCTTCACATCTCCTATTCATGATTCAAGGACTTTCTTTGTAGGCCTTACCAATGATCTCTAGATAGGCTGACTAGAATTCAGTAGATGAATTTGTACCAAAGGATATCTGGATAGAAATGCTTGACTAGGACTTATCATTTATGGCAGAATACATGAGGTCTAGTCCGGGGTGGTCGGGGGCATGGATGGGGAAGAGGGTCTAAATCTGATTAAGAAGTGTTATAGTAAATGTACAAAAGCTCAATAAAAATTATTTTGTCTCAGAAAAAAAAATCATGGATGGTTTGTTAGAAAAAATGTTTTATTTATCATTATATTTATTTTTTGTGCCTGAGTGTATTGCCTGCATGTATGTAAGTGCACCCCTGTCCTTCAGTGCTGGAGGTGGTCAGAAGCTATTGGATTTGCCGGCAGTTGTTAATGTGAGTGCTGGGAATTGGATCCTGGTCCTTTGCGAGAGTAGCCAGTGCTCTTAACTGCTGAGCCATCTCTCCAGCCCTTGGGGTAGGCTTTATGGGAATCTTTCAGACATTTAGAGCACAGAGGTGTGTTTGAAGCTCTCTGCATTGGCTAGGAGCCAAACACAAATATAACTTTCAATTAACACTTTAGTTACTTTCGAAAAGCTTTTCTAGTATCAGATCAACTTGTAAATGGTTTATTTGAGGCTTGCTTAAATATGTGCTTATTCTTCTGCAGCCGAATGGTACTAAAACCAAAATGTGCTAAAATAAAATTCAGGGCATGTGTTCTCAGAAGCATTGACCAGAGACCTGTAAATTCTACTGAGTTACATGCTTCATTTAAAATCTGATCTTAGTAAAGAATGAAAGTCACAGAAAGTGTGTGTGTGTGTGTGTGTGTCTGTAAGATTTTTCTACATTAAAAAATTAAGTTTTGGGGGACTGGAGAGGTAACTCAGTAGTTAAGAACATTGGCTCTTCCTGCAGAAGACCTGGGTTCGATTCCCAGCACCCACATAGCAACTAATAAGTGTCGACAACTCCAGTTCCAGGGAATCTGGCACCCTCTTCTGTACTCCTTGGGCATTGCATGGCACAGGTGCACTTACCTCCTTGCAGGCAATACACCCATACACATAAAATAAAAATAATAAAGTTTTTGATAGTGGTTAATTTATTGTTGATGTTTTCTCTATTGCTTGATATAGTATTGTCTACAAATCATCTAATACCTTTTTTAAAGGCTTTTATGTAGTTAGCCAAAGATTGCTAATCTTTTAAACAAAGATATAAACATTTTAGTGTATTTTTGGTAATTAGAGAAATAAGATCAGTTTCTTCTCTTTCTATAATATTTCCATCATACAGCTGATATTCAGTCTTGGGTGCATCCTTTAAACATTTTCTTCTAACTTTAAAAAAAATTTTATTTTTATGTGTATGTGTGGTGTATTGCCTGAATGTAGGTAAGTGTACCCTTGTCATGCAATGCCTGCAGAGGTCAGAAGAGGCTGTTGGATCCCTGGGACTGGAGTTAGAGACATACGGTGTTGGGATGCGAACCCAGGTCTTCTGCAAGAACAACCAGTGTTCTTAACCGCTGAGCCATCTCTCCAGCCCCTCATCCTTTAACAAACATTTAATGCATTTAACAAACATCCTAGCAAACATTTCATGCTAGGAAGCATGGTTTCAGTTAGAGAAAGGCAAATATTAGTTTGTATTACTGTCCTCCAGTAGGAATCTGATTAGATACATACAGTTTGTGGTATACTATTGTAAATGTTTCATTCAAAAGGAACAGTTTTATTGTTAGGCTCATCCTATCCCTGAGGCATCCTTTCTTCTCCTCACACCTTACTATACTCTGGAAATGATTTTCGTCAATTTTTTCAAACTTTGGTAGGGTTTGTGTCTGCCAATTTATTTTATAAATTTTTTTTCTTTTGGATTTGTGATCACCACTTTGAAGCTTGGTTATTAGAAAACTGGGTTTCCATTTGTGGCCAGTGGTTGGAGAAAGATAATCACTTATCCCCCTTGCTGTAGTCAGCTAGCTGGATTGGATTGTCTACACTTGGTTCTCCATTGCCTGTGGGTGAACCTTAGTCTGTGAGATGCAGGAGATGACGTGCTTTTAAGTGATCACTATGGTTTTAACTCAAAACATTCTTGATGGCTAGGAATACTTAAATGGTAGTTTTCGAATATGTGATATTTTGTACTTTGCATTGTATCTTGTGGTTGTGTAATGAACTTTTGTTTCTCCTCTCACTGTAGGAATAACTTGACTGTTATTGACATGGTTGGTGTAGAAGGATTTGGAGCACAAGAGCTACTGAAAGTGGGTGGAAGACTTCCTGGTACAGGAGGTTCGCTGCGATTTAAGGTGCCTGAGTCCACACTGATGGACTGTCGCCGACGTGAGTTCACATGCTTGGCACCTGTGACACAGTATTTTTCATTCATTTAGTAATATAGAGTTTTCTTGAATGATTGAAATAAAAACTGTAGAACTATTTAAAATATTACTCCTTATATAGATTAGATTGTGAGTTACATGTTTATAGGTATATTTTAAGTTATATTGACTTTTCAAACTCCCAATATAAAGTATGTTTTCATTTATTTCTAAAAGTTTGATATTGTATTTGAATGTTTTCTAGTAGCTGATTAAATAAAAGCACATACAGACTAGGGATGGTGGTACTTACCTGTAATCTCAGCACTTGGGAGGTAGAGGCAGGAGGATAAGAAGTCTAAAGGTCATCTTTGGCTATATAGCAAGTTTGAGACCAGCCTGGCATACACGAGAACCTGTCTCTTAGCTGGTCTCTGGTTCAATACAAATGGAAGTCGTAGGGTCACATGGAACAGGATACCTAGTGATAAGTCCAAAGTATTTGGCTCCAGAAAGAGTAAACTTTTAACCTTAGCATTTAATGATGAAAGCAGAATATTTAACTTAAGCATCTTTTTAAAGAAATATTTAGTATTTTTATTTTATGTGTATGTGTGTATTGCCTGCATATAGGTAAGTGCACCTGTGTCGTGCAGTGCCCACGGAAGACAGAAGAGGCTGCTGGTTCCCCTGGAACTGAAGTTACGGACAGTTGTTAGCCGCCATGTGGGTGCTGGGATTCAAACCTTGGTCTTCTGCAAGAACAGTCAGTGTTCTTAACTGCTGAACCATCTCTCCAGCCCCAAGCATCTTTTTTTTTTTTTTTAATTTATTGGGAATTTCACACATGCGTATAAGGTGTTTTGATCAAATCCACGTCCACTCCCTCCCCTCCAATTCCTCCCATATCTCCCCATCACTTTTTCCTGAAAAACTTCATGTACTCTTTCTTTTTTATTTTTTATGGGGCTTTTTGCTACTCTAACATTTCCCCCCTTCTGAAGAGTTAACTCTAAAATCTTTAGGGATTAGATAAGAGCTCCCAAATACTTTTGACATTTTTGGCCTTTGGAACAGAGTATGTTGGTTGCTAAGAGGCCCAAGGACATTTTGATTTTTAGCCAAGAAACTGGCTACTTTTCTTTGTGGTCTTTTTACCCTAACTGCCTAGCCAATTCCTACCTCCTGTTCTTAACACAACATCCCCTTGGGAGGTTACCCAAATTGCCAATAGGGAATTGGTACGCAGACTGCTCTGGCTTCTTCCATGCTGAACAGGGATGTAGGGTGAGGCAATTGGAGTACCCCTTTACTGGGTCTATCTAAAAGACTCCCATATTGCATGACTCTTAACTGTAGGGAGAAAAGAAAGTCCTTGACTGGTGCCTAGGAGATGTGAAGGAGAAGTAAAGGCAAGAGTAATTAGTATTACAAGCTCTAGACAGGGAACTAGAAAAAAGTCAAAACCGGGCAAATTTCAAATGTTCATATCAGAGTACACTGGAATTTCTTGACGAGAGCTTCCAAAAGCATACCTCCTTAATTTAAGCATCTTGACTACGTATTTGAATTGTTTCCTGGTTGTATAACAAAATCTAGAGATGATAGAATCAGAGATTATTCCAAAAAACAAGATAGAAACCACACTTTGAGGTTATGTTGAACTTTTTTTTTTTTACATATTTTAAATAATGTAAAGCACAGTTGATTTAATAAATTAAGCTTTGCAGCTTACAAAGTTTTTAAAGTTTTTGTTTCGTTTTTTTTTTTTTTTTAACAAAAAAAATCCCATGTTGTTCCTTACTAGAACTGAAAGACAAAAAGCAAATTTTATCCATTACGAAGAACTTCAAAGTTGAAAATATCGGACCTCTTCCTATAACTGTGGCATCCCTGAAAATCAATGGCTATAACTGCCAGGGTTATGGATTCGAAGTGTTAGATTGTCATCAGTTTTCCCTGAATCCAAACAAATCCCACGACATCAGTATCGTGTAAGTGCTGGCATGTAACTTCATTTCAATTTTGTGGTATGCTGTGGGGAAAACATTCCAATGGTAAGACATCTTCAGTTCTTATATAAATATTTGTTTTGTAGGCTTAAGTTTTGTTTCTGTTATGGTTATTTGTGATGAAAATTAAAAACAGTAAATATTCATAAAACAAGCCTCTTGTTCCTAGGTTTACTCCAGACTTCACTTCTTCCTGGGTCATCCGTGAGCTGACACTGGTCACTGCAGCAGACCTGGAATTCCACTTCACACTTAATGTGACCCTTCCTCATCACCTGTTGCCCTTATGTGCAGAGGTGGTTCCCGGACCCAGCTGGGAGGAGTCCTTTTGGAGGCTCACTGTCTTCTTTGTTGGGTAAACTCCCATTTTTTTTTTACTCTTCTCATACTGAGTAGTGAGGTTGTGCTGGAGTTACATGAAAATACAAACTGCCCAAGTATAGTGAAAGTGTAATAATGGAGTACGGCTTTTATTGCCTTGAGAACTCCTCATGTGGAGTGGACAAGGAAGCAGTGGGTTTGTAGTAAGATTAGAGGAAACTGACAGAGCTGAGGGACCTAAGCAAGGCACAGCTGTGCTCTGCATCCATGCATTGCTGTCGTGGTGGGAGAGCTGAGACCTGAGGGCTGGGTGGTCTTAGCTCAGCGCAGTGGCTATTTGACATTTTTAGACCACATTTTTTCCTTTAAAAGTACTTTATCTTGGAAGTATGTGTAAAGATTGAATTGTCATGTCAACTTTATAAATATGCACATTTTATTTATATTTAATTTATTATTTTTATTTTATGTGTATGAGTATATTGCCTGCATGTAAGTGAGTGCGCCCATGTCGTGCAATGCCTCAGAGGTCAGAAGAGGGTTTTGGATTCCCATGGAACTGGAGTTAAGGACAGTTCATAGCCTCCATGTGGGTGCTGGGAATCAAACCCAGGTCCTCTGCAAGAGCAGTCGGTGCCCTTAACCACTGAGCCATCTCTCCAGCCCAAATATGCAACTTTTTAAAAGCTTTGAGTTTTTTTTTTTTTTACCTTTAAGAAACATCAGAAATTATGATGTACATTTAATACAATTTAATATTATATCTGTTGCTGTTTTTCATTGCTCATTCGCCACCCTTCTGTAGTAAAGTCGGTCTTTTAGCTTCATTTTACCTTTTTTTTCTTGAGGCGATCTCACTGTGTTATCCAGAGTGGCCTCAGCCACCTGGGCTCAAGCACTCCTCTTGCCTCAGCCTCAATGAGTGGCTGGCACTGCGGGTGTGTGTGCCATTGTGACTGGCTTATAACGAGTCTTCTTGATGCCATTTAGAACCATATGTAATGAATGGCATTGCTTTCTTCTTCAGCTTGTCCCTGTTGGGTGTGATTTTAATAGCCTTCCAACAAGCACAGTACATTCTGATGGAATTCATGAAAACAAGACAGAGGCAGAATGCCAGCTCCTCTTCACAGCAGAATGGTGGTCCAGTGGATATAATCAGCTCCCATTCTCACAAGTAAGAGGCCTCTTTCTGTGTGATGGAGGGTAGGTGTTCTGGCCTTCGATACTGCTTATTTCTGATTTTATTTTAAGGTAATATAAAATTCTTTCCAAATTTATTTTTATAAAATTTTCCTGACTTTTGTGAATAACTGCAGTACTTTTCTTCTGAGGTAGTCTTTGTGTGAGGGTCTGATTCCTAGATATCCTTGATGGTAGAAAACTGAGGCTTAGGAGGAAGGAACTCCTTAGTGTACAGCACTCTTGCATGGGTGTGGAAAAAGAGAAGTGAGCTTTGGTTTAGTTTGCATTTATGCTAAATGACTTTCTTCTTGTATTCAGAAGTACTTGCAAGAACTTCCTCGACACATACTGCCCATCTGATAAAGGCAGAGGGAAAAGCTGCCTTCCAGTGGGTCCTCCCCTCAGCAGGATCCAGGCTGCTAAGAGGAGCCCAGCCACCTATGGTCATTCTCAGAAGAAGCATAAGTGCTCAGTCTACTACAGCAAACAAAAACCCAGTGCTCCTGCGGCTGGCAGCACCAGCACTACCACTGAGGAGAAGCAGACTTTGACCCTGGGAGGCTCCCTGTCTGCTGCCAAGGAGGATGTTTGCACTGATGTCCTGAGTGAGAACTGGGTCAGCCTCAAGTATGCCAGTGGCATGAATGTCAACCTGCCGAAGAATTTAACCCTTCCCAAAAACGTGCTGAATAAAGAGGAAAACGCGATGAAAAACACAGTTGTCAGTAATACTTCTTCAGAATGTAGTATGAAGGAGGGAATACAAACATGTATGTTTCCTAAGGAAACTGACGTGAAAACTTCAGAAAGCATGGCTGAGCTCAAGGACCAGGAGCTCTGTCCGCAGAAGACTTCTAAGAAGCTCTCTGAAAATCCTTTGCCGAAAACCCCACCTCAGTACCACCAGTCAGACTTGCTAGAAGTTTCCAGGAAACATAATGGTAATCTTGTGCCCCCTGGTGGTGGTTCTCTTTTTGTCACGGGTCTGTTCCGCCTATAACCTTTAAGGCAGTGTCTGACTTTCCTCTTTCCTCTCCTCTCCTCTCCTCTCCTCTCCTCCCCTCCCCTCCTCTCTCTCTCTCTCCTCCCCTTTCTTGAGACACATTCTTATATTATAGTCCAGTCTGGTCTTGAACTTGGAGCAGAACTCCAGCCTCAGCCTCCCAAGTGCTGGCATTACAGGGGAAGGTACCATGCTCAGCTGTGACATTCAGTTTAATTGTAGGTGCCAAGTACTTGAGTTTAGGCACATAGTTTAAGCAAAGGTATAAATATCAAAATATAAAATGTGGAATTTTAAGACAAGGCACCCATTTTTTTCTTTCTTTTTTTTTGAATGCTATGGCTAAGAAGTTCAGGTTTTAGAACATAAGTTTAGAGGAATGTCAGTGTCATACTTTATTGCTGGGAGAATACTAACACCTTTTCTGACTGTGCGTTCTCAGCTTCAGGCTATTTGTAAGAATCAGTCACCCTTGTAGTGTTTGGGACTGAACAGAACTTCACCAGCTTCTTTAACAACTACCAGCCTTGCATGTCCCCAGGCATTACTTTTTTTATGACATCTCTTGATTTTAAAAAGACAGATGTTGTCATGTAGCAAATGCAGTTCCTGGAAATATACAGACAACGAAACTAGAAAAATGCTTACAGAGAAAACTGACAGTGTGCTGATGCCTGCAGCCTCTGATAGAAGGGTCTGCTCCCTTCGCTCCTCTATCCTTTTTCTCCATCTGACCAGTTTACTATATTAGCACATCCCTGTATCTGTTGGAAAAACTCAGGTGCCTTTACTCTTTAAAATTTTTTAAAATTTTTATTTGTATATTCCCTGCATGTATGTGAGTGCACCCATGTTGTGCACTGCCTGTGGAGGTCAGATGAGGGTGTTGGATTCCCTTGGAACTGGAGTTACAGACAGTTGTTAGCTGCCATGTGGGTACTGGGCATTGAACACAGGTCCTCTGCAAGAGCAGCCAGTGCTCTTAACTGCTGAGCCATGTGTCCAGCCCAGTTGCCTTTAATCTTAATTGAAACATTTAACTACAAGTACCTGTTGGCCAGCTTCATGTGACTGCACTAAAGATTCTGAAACAATGAATTTATAAAGGGAAATTTATTGAGCTCAGGGATCTGGAGGTTCTAGTCCATAATCAGGTGCCCTATTGTTTTGGGTTTCTGGCTGTCAAGTAGAAAGTATGTATCAGAAAAGAGAGGCAAGTGTTGGGGTAAGAGACTTAAGGTCTCATGACCCCTTTCCAGGGTACCCCAAAATGACCTGAGGACCTCCATGAGCCTGTCACCTTGAGCTTCTCTGCTCCTCCTGACAGTGCCACCTGGGGACCAAGGCACATATTCACATTGTAATAATCACTTCATTGCTTGCTACTTGATGGTGAAGGGAAGGTAGAGAAGGGCTTTAGACTCGTTCTAAAGAGCTTTATGCATTTGATGGAAACCTCAAATTGAATTCTCAATATTCTATAAAGAATATTTATAATTTAAAAGATACTTGGAATTCTCTGAGGTACTTTGGGTAGCTGCGCATGTTTTCCTGGTGTTTAAAGTGACATGTTTTCGGGGTTGACCCTGTGCTGGGTGTCTCCTCATCCACTGTGAGTATGCCCCAGACAATATAGTAACCAGGTCTTTAAGTCAAACCAGGTACTTGGTACTCGTCTGCAAAACTTTATGATAGGCTGTTGGGTGCCTGCTACTCTTTCTCTTAACTTGCCCTGTCTCAGGTCTAGACTGCAGAACACCTGTGAAAGTGGAATTAGGGAATAAGTCCTGTGGACTTTGTCTTTGTTTTATTAGGCATTTAGACCTGAGCACAGTCTGTGACTTAGGCTGACCTAACTTGCCATGAACTCTTTAAGATAAAGTCGTTTGGGGGAAATCACTCTCCCCCTACCCCCCAGGTGTTGCTTCTGTGACTTCTTGTGCCAGGCTGTCTGGATGGACATGCCTGCAGAGTGCTATACTTGGTGGGTAGGTAGCTGGGAGGGATTTTGTCAAATCACGAAGTGGTTGAAATGTAGAGGTATGGATCCGAAGTGCAATACCAGAGTGGGTCAAAGGATCTGAATTTGTGCTTTCAGATCCTCTGATTCTTAATGTTTAGTGTCAGTAGTTTAACAATTACCACACTTAAGAACTCTTGTAGGTAGGAGTAAATTCAGTGCGAAAGTGCATATGTAGAAGGTTTGCTTCTCTTGTTAAAAGTGGTAAGCCCACCCAGAATCCTTCCTGTGCAGATACCTGGTGTACTTGGGATTTTTTGGGAAACAAATTGAACACTACACAGTTTTTTTCAAAGCAATTTGCAGCATGTGAATTGATACTGTGGTGATTGTGCAGAGCGTGTAAAAGGTGATGGGGGAGCTTTGGCTTTCTGCTTTGCTCAGAGGGTCCTGAATTTTCTACAGCGTTACTATGTTGCCAGGGGACTTCTAATGAGGGTCTATTCATGACATAGATAGATGGCCCTCTGTACCTGTGGACTCTGTACCTGTGGGTTTAACCAACCAGGGGTAGAAAATAATCCCAAAATAAGAAAGTTGCACCTGTGCTGAACATATATAGACTGTTGTCATGCCTTCCCAAGCAGTACTGAAAGGCTGCTGTTGACATGGTACTTTTATTAGGTACCATAAGCTTTCTAGAGATTACTTAAGAACATGTGAGGATACATAAGTAGTTATATGTAAATGTTATGTCATTTTATAAGAGGATTGCGTACACATGGGGTTTGCTATTGGGAGGGCCTAGAACCATCCCCATGGATACTGAAGGATGGTTGTACTTGTTGTTTCCCCCGTGTTCCTCCAGAAGACCATCAGAGGTGTTTGAAAGTGAACAAGTGGCCCGCCATCAGTTTACAATGTAAACTAGTTTTAAAGGATTGAAGTGTAAAACATAAGAAGGAATGGAAGTATAGGGTGTGATAATAGTAATTTGAAGTACAGATTTGTAATTTCGTAATAGTAGTAGTAGTAGTAGTAGTAGTAGTAGTAGTAGTAGTAGTAGTGGCTTGAGTTCTTCTGTCAAACACTGGAGGAAAGCATGCAAAGCAGTACTGTGCTGCTGGCAGTGGACAGGCATCCATCAGTGAGAGAAGCATAACACAGTGCAGAATCTTCCCAGAAGCCCTGGGAACCTTAATCTTCTGAGTTTTCACTTTCAACCTTGAGACGTATTTATTTTGAAAAGTATCAGACTTTGAAAAGTGTGCCTTTCCTTCCTAGTTTGCTTTCTAGCATCTGAAAGCACAAGTTCTGGTCTTAGAACTGGGCTCAGCTCATCTGATGATTAAGGGCCCTTCATCCACTCACACTGTCCTGCACGGTTCAGCAGAGTTGGGAAGTTTACTTCCTGGTTAAGACCTGCTTGTGTATCAGTTCTCCCAGCATATATGAATGCTCTGTAGAAATGGTTCTAGTGATAAAATTGCTGATGGGGGAGAGGCAGGGAGGGTCCTTTCTTTTAAGGGAACTATAAGTGATTTTCCTAATCCACCAGAACTACCACCCCCTCAACCCCCAGAACCCTGCCACAGGAAGAACTGGAAGAACTGCACTTCTCATTCAAGGCAGTTTTCTCCTGGGTATCACTGTGAGAACAACATGTTCTAGGGTGGATGTTAATGGCTCTGACTTTGTACGTCTGGTTGTTAAGGAACAGAGAATATTTTATGAATAACAGAAAGTCTGTCTTCTTCCCTGAGCCCTTCCCCTACTTCCTTCTGTGGTGCCTGCCATACATCATAAATTAAAATGTCCAGTAGAAGTGAAGTCTGTGGACAGATTCTTCAGGGCTGTTTTCTTATATTTGTTTTTCAGTGTCAGCCGTCGAACTTCTGTGTTGTATGCATTGTGTGCATATGTGTTGAGTGGGTGTGCTCACCCCCTATGGGAACATGTGGAGGCCAGAGCTTAACTTCTGGGTGTTTCTTCAATTGCTTCTCCACCCCCCCACCCCCTCGCTTCTTGAGACAAGATCTCTCACTGGCCACAGCTCCCTATTTTGGCTAGGCTGGGTGGGCTGAGTTTGTTTTTCCCATCTGTATCTGCTCCCAAGCATTGGGATTGCAGAGACAGGCCTCCATGGCCAGCTTTTATGTAGTGCTGGAGACTTGAACTCAGGTCCTCATGCTTGCACAATAAACACTTTACCGCTGAACCATCACCCCAGCCACTGCTCTTCTGTTATTAACTTTGCTACAAGCACACACTCCATAGGGTCACAGGAAAGTTACATGTTTAATAGGATGACATTAAATGGATTGGCTCCTTTTCAGAAATCAGGTTAAGTCATAGTTGCATGATATGTGTATAACTTTCAGCTAACCAAATAAGAGGATGTTTACTTGCCTCAAATGAATTTCATTTGTAGCATCACAGTCAGAGGGGATTTGTCCTCTTCTCATTCCACAGGTCAGGAGCCTTGTCCATTCCAGTCCCCCTTCCAATCAGGTATCCCTCCTGCCAGCATCTATGGCCTGCTCTACTAGGTCACCTACAGGATTTTGAGTTAAGGGAAAAAGAGGAGCTGCTGTTATTTCTAATTAGGAAATTGAGGTGGTCACCATGAGACTGAAGTTGCTTTGTTTTTATTGTAAAGTAAGGGAAGAAGTTCACTTATGAAATCATTTACAAGAGAAGTGGGAAAAAATACTAGGGCTTGGGAATGTAGCTCAGCAGTAGAGAACTTGCCTCCATGTATGGGTCCTTATGTTCCATCCATCACTCCTTAGGCCCCTCAATGGAAAAAACAAGCTTTCAGAGATAGTACCTGCCAGTACCCACTGCCATGGGGTTCACAGACTTCATTCCTCAGCCTGTGGGCACTGGACAGTACTAGAGGGGAGGGGCCTCCCTGAGCACATCCTTTGGTGAGATGTCTTATGTACTAGTATCATCTTCATAGCTGCCTTGCAGGGTGCAGGGAAGAAGCTGCTGTGTTCTTACTAGAAGGAAATAGGGACACTGGTACTTAAGAGACATATTCTGATGATAAAAGTCATCTGTGGCAGAGTCATCATGGAACCCAAGTCCCTATCCTTCTCTTTCCTCCCAGCCAAAACAAAAAGTGACAAAATGTACACAGCATAAAGTTTGCTACTATTTTAACCTTTTAATTATATGATTTGGTGGCATTGAGTGTACTCACATTCTTGGCAACCATCATCACTGTCCATGTCAGGACATTGTCATCAACCCAAACAGCAATTCTGTGCCTACTGAGAATAATACCCCTTACTTCTTCCCCAGCCCCGAGAAACCATACTTTTTAATCTCTTGAGTGTGACCATATTAGGTCCCTCACACAACATTGTCCTTTTTTTGCTTGACTTCTTTTGCTTAGCATAATGTCTTCAACATTCCTCTGGGTAGTAGGTTGTAATGGGAATTTTCATCCTATTTTTAGAAACCATTTTAACCATTCTAAGTACACAGTTCTGTAGTGAGCACGTGGACATTATGCAGTGAGTCAGCTGAGTGCTGTTCCACTGTGTGCCTGTATTGATTCTGCTTTCCCTCATCCATCAGTGGACATTCAGGTTGTTTCTACTTTTGGGGGGCTTGTTGTGGATAATGATGCTGCAGTAGATACTGGTGCCCCACTGCTGCCTTTTTTCTTTGGTATCTTTTAAAGATTATAGAACTTTTAAATAAGCGTATTTTCACCTGGAAATAAAATGAATTTCTGGAGAATTGTGGATATAAAAAATAAGCTTTATGCTTAAATCTCATTAAACCAATGAAGTTGTTTGATATAGGGAAAATATTTAAGCATGGGGAATATGAATGGGAAAAATGACTAGAAATTGAATTGTTTTTATTTATTCAAGGAAATAGCCAGCAAGTGCCTATCAAGAATGAAGTGAATGACAGTTGTGAAACCTTGAAAAGGGTTGACACAAAGTCATCTTCAGAAAAGAGGAGTCACAAAGCAGCTAAAGAAGACGTGTGTCCTGAGAAACAGGACACACCTTCAGTGGAGGTCTGTATGCCTTTTCTCTTTCCTGTTAAAAAGAATCTAGAGTACAAATAGCTGTGGTAAACAGTTGTCTTTTCTCTGTGTATTTTATCAGAAGTTTGAGATGTTTGTTCAGAAAGTTTTATCTTACATGTGATAGTAAAATTATTTTTAGTGAAACCAGATAGCTTGTATTCTCTGGGGAAACTAATCTTAAGCAAATGGGTTGATTTCTAGTAACAGTGGTAGAGCAGAACCAGACCAGGGCAGAATCTCTTTTATGTCTTTATTACTGACACCCATTTTTCAAAGCAGTCTTGATGAATTGCTTATCTTGTCCTGTTTCTGTTATCATCTTTAAAATATCAGAAAACGTGTTATTGATACAATGAAAAAAATTTTTTGTAATGAGGGAAGAGCTCAATTTGCTGATCAAAATGGCCCACTGTGTGTGCCAGGAAAATAATAACTGACGTAATAACAGTCATAGGCACAGCACAGTTTAATTACTACTAAGTAATTAAACAAAGCATAAAGAGTTGGTGAGAACATGGAGAACAAGAAACACAGACTTAAGCTTGCTTTAGACGTCTCCATTGAAACATCTAATGTCAGAAAACACTGGTGCAGTGTCATTAAGAGAATGAAAATGTGAACCAAGAATAGGTAGTGTCCAACCAAGTTGACACTCAAGTACAGAGACAACAGGGAGATATCTTTAAGTGAAAACGAACTCATGAACTTGTTTTGAGAAAATGGAGTTAATGAAAATCAGCCAAACTAGAAGTAAAAATTAAGATGCAGGAGTCACAGAGCCATGCTAAAGTTCTATTAGTGACTTAGACTTAACACTTAGCAATTATAACCCAAAACAAAAACCCAACAGATCAATAATATTAAAACGTGAACAAAGTAAGGTATAGTAATAGCTTGAAAACATAAGAGGTTAGGTAAAAATAAATTTTAACTGTGGTGGTTCTTGATGGAGACTCCATAATATGTAAAAGTAAAGCATGTAGTCTAAAAGGGTGATAAATCTTAAAGTATGTTTTGCAGTCTTTGTATATCTGTGTTTGTGTGGTACGGGGGATCAAACCAGAATCTGTGTATTCAAAGGAAGCACTATGCCACTAAGCCACCTTACCCCATCCCCCCATGTACTGTCTTATCTCAACCTTAGAGATTTCCTAAATTAATATATCAGGTGGAAAAAAAATACTTGAAATTTGGCAGTTCTTTTGATTCTGCTTTGGTTTCCTTTTTAAAAAAATAAATACTCAAGGCCTAAAAACCACATCAGTGACCAGCACAGCAAACAACATTGGTGCAGTAGTGGCACTTTTATCTTGGGGGTAATCAACAGCTACCTTATATGGACTTAAAATCCACTCAATGGGAACAAACTCACGTGTGGTACTATAAACCTAGCCAAATACACATAGCTGGAGAGGTCAGATCTTAGAGAAAACTCCAAGGCTGTCACATCCCTAGCAAATGTAATATGGATCCTTAAATCTATGGACAAGTATCTCAGTCACCACCCATCAAAGAAGCTTCTTCGAGAGACAGAGATAGTTACAGAGTTCCACAACTGGTCACACACAGAGATTGTCTGTGAATTGCCCAAATCTAAGTGACACATCTAGGATGCAATCTCTACACCTAAGCTTCACAGAACATAGAACAAGGGATGAAGAGATCACTAATGCATCTTTCAATTCTCATTAATGAATCTCCCTCATGTAACAGGGCCAGGAAAGCAAAAGGCCACAGATGGCCAAAACAAAGAGGGTAAGAATCTACAGAGCCTGGGTCCTTGGACAGGACTCCTATAGTAAAATCCACCCACCTAGGACTTAGGGATCATTGCAGAAGAGGGAGTGGAAAGATTGTAAGAGTCAGGGAGGAGGTGCATGACCATAAGGAAATACTCCTACAGGCTTCTAGGACTTTTCTCTTATGAACCTACAGCAATGGTGTCAGCATATACAAGACCCAGGCAAACTAAGCAGACAAAAATCCAGCACAGAACTTTGGAAATGAACATCAGGCCCCAATCTTAGTCTAAAAATTATTGGCAGCTGAATACTGCTGGGTGAGAATGAGCTGATCTTCTTAAAGGAAGGGACTCTAGATAGACTGACTAGATCCCAGTGGATGAACTTGCATGGAGGGACGTTTGGGGACACTGCTTGATATGATAGTCCTTAAACACAAATGACAGAAAGTATGAATTCCAGTGGGGGAAGGGAGACTGTGGGAGGGAGCCAAAAGGGAAGGGGGTATAAAGATGATTTTATATATGAAATACACAAAAATTCAATAAAAATTCATTAATTAATATAAAATTGAGCTTTAAATTTTTACTTAAAAAGTAGTACATGACCTTAGTGTCATAAATAGTCCCATCACCTGTCCTGTCACCCTTAACATGTATGTAGGTTCAATGAGAAATATTCAGAAAGAAGGTTCATGCAATAGTCAGTATATGGCCCTGGTTATTTCTGAGTGGTGGCATTTTAGGTGATTTCTTTCTTCTTTATATTCCTCTATTTTCCTTAAACTTGATAATGAACATGACTCTTTTGTTTAAATTAAGCAGAATAAAATAAGTATGCCATAGGCATTCCAAGGTAGGACTTTGTAGTGGATTGGGAAAGGTGCAAGATATCTGCTTGTACTCAAGCATCAAGATTAATATTAGGTTTCAGGGCCCTGAAAAACCCTGAGGAGTCCGATTGTACACGGTAGCACACAGAAAGGCAGAAGAGGAAAGGTGGGCAGTGGGCACTGCAGAGCCCCTAGGGAGGAACCATCAAGCCATACAGTTAAGAACAGGCAGGGAGGGTAGGGAGAGAGGTCATCACCAAGGGCATTAATGGAAGAGAAGGATCTTAGGCCTTCCAGATTGGAGCACCCTTGAATACTAATTGAAAGTTTTGAATTGATATGGGCATGGACTTGGGCTTGTAATACTAGTACTCAGGAAGTTAAGGCAGATGAATCATGAATTCAAGGCCAGCCTAGGCTACGTAGTCAGGCCCTGTTTCGAAAAATAAAACGTTCAGACTTTATTGTCTGGTGAATGAACATAACCAACAGGAGGAAGGTGGTCTTCAGAGGTCTGGAGCTTGATTGCCTGCTACAGAATTCCAGAATCAGAGCTTCTGTAATGAGCCAGCCAGGAGCTGATGAAGGGTTGGGTTATCCCTGGGAAGTCAGCCTGGCTTTCTCCACAGCATCAGCAGGGAGAGGGTATAGCCTGAATTTGAATGCTGGGCAGTGTGGTGGTGTACATGTGTCAGAGGAACCAAGAGCTAGATCCAAAGAGGATATACTTTCATAGGCAGAAGTCATGTCAGTACATTTGGGATAGGGAATTAGTGAAATTAGGTGCTGACTATACCAACTCCTGACTGGCTTGTTACAGAAGGTTTGATTCTGAAATTCCATTATATGCAATCACTCTCCAGTTCTCTGAAGGCCACCTTCCTCCTGTCAATTATGTTCATTCACCAGACAATAAAGTCTAAACTTGTTAATTTTCAAAACAGGGCCTCACTTTGTAGTCTAGTAGAGCCTTGAATTCATAATTCACCTGCCTTCACTTCCTGAATAATGGTATTACAGACCCATGCCCATATCAGGTTGAAACTTCTAATCAGTATTCAAGTGTGTTCCCAATCTGGAGGGCCCAAGATTCTGGCATCTTTTTGATTGGGCCTTTGGAGACTTGCCTGTTGCCTGCAGTGACATAGGAGTCCATGCTGAGATTGTGCTGGGAGACCCTGGATCTGATGACTCCAGGGCTCCTTCAGCATGGCCCTGAGAAACAGGTACTGCTGCTGGCACCCAGTGCCACACGTGGGTGTAATAACCCCCTCTAGTTCTGCCTCCATCCCCAAAGTCTTCCCTGCACCCTGGGCGGATGAGCCCTATGCACATGCGCCTTCTCTTATGAGGGTTTCCTTACTTTGTTTTTTTCTTTTTTAACGTGTATGAGTGCATTACCTGCATGTGTGTAAGTGCACCTGTATCGTACAATGCCCATGGAGGTCAGAAAAGGGCATCAGATCCCCTGGAACTGGAGTTATGGACAGTTGTTGGCTGACATGTGGGTGCTGGGAATTGAACCCAGGGTCTCTGCAAGAGCAGCTAGTGCTCCTGACCACAGAACCATCTCCCCAGCCCTTGCTTCGTTATTTTCTTCCATGCATCTTCACTATTAGATCTACGAAGGCTCAGGTAATACCTTCTATCCCTATCCCTGGAGCTCAAACAGTCCTTGACAAAGTCCTATGGTTATACACCGCCTCCCTCTGGAGGTCTGTGTGATTGTTAAAGCCATCTGCACCTAATGGTGACAGCTGGCTCAGTACCTAGAGGGTTGGGGTTGTCCCCTTGGTTGCCAGGTAGATATTCTGGTGCTACCTTGTGGCCATCCTTGGTCATTTCCTCAGTGTTTCTGTGACTTACTGGTTTTGTGGCGTTCTTTGTGGGGATGGCACTCTCCAGTGCATGTTCCTTTGTAGCAAGTCTTTCTCAGTAATCACATTCCAAGTGCAGTGCTCAGTGTTTATTCTTCTTGTACATTCTTAGGACCTAACTTTGTTGCTTAGAAAATTGTATAAACCTGTCTATAGTACACAGAGAATGTTCCTCTAGATGTATTGGCAAGGAAGATTGAAGCCCAGGTTTGGTCATAGACTAAATTTTAACTAGCTCTGGCCTTTTCTTTTTAAAAACTTTATGTGTATGAGGATTTTGCCTGCGTGGATATAAGTGCAACAGTGCTATGCAATGCCTGTCGACACCCTAAGAGGGCATCAGATTCCCTGGAACTGGAGTTAGAGATGGTTATTAGCTACCATGTTGGGTGCTGGGAGCTCTTCCTGGGTCCTTTTCAGGAGCAACCCATTGCTCTTAACTTCTTAACCATCTTTCCAACTTCCTTTTATTTTCTTTGAAACATTTTTTTCTTAGAAAAGTAATTCATGATTATTAGAGAAGAGTAAAGGAGGGGAAAGACATCATTCAAAATGAGCCACTGTAATGATTTTATGTAATCTCTTTTGTATGCAAATTTTAAAGAACTTTATTATTATAAAATAGTTAAGAGAATACTATCATTATTCATATGTATAATTTTATAATTCTAATTTTCTCTTGTGATTGAAAATTAAATGTGAAACTATATATTAGCAGTGATAGAACATTCTATCATTTTTAACAGTTCCACTATTGAAACCATCCTCCTGCAGGTAGACCTGAAAGCTGTTTCTACTTTTCACTTTCATAAATAACTTTGTGATGGCTATCTTTCTTTGTTCCTGACTTTTGACTATATTCCTGATTCATGCTCCTTAATGATGTCAGGAAACAAGATCAAAGGGTGCATGAAGTATCTTCCCCCAGGTTCCTTTCACATGCTGCCGGGTTGTTTTCCAGGAAGTTGTTTCCGGATGACATTCACGTGTATGGGATGAGTGTGCTGGTCGCATCCTCTCACGCAGCATTATTTTTGCAGACTCTTTTGTTGTTGACTTCAAGGCCTCCTGCATGTTAAGTATGTGCCCTACCATCGAGTGACACCTTTAGGGCCTTGTTAGCAGAACCTTGGATGTGAAATAGATAAATAATTGTGTAGATGAAAAATCATGGTTTGAGGGGAGGTGGTTTGAGGGTTTGTTGTTTCTTTTCTTTGTTGTCTTGGGGTTTTGGGGGATTCAGGAAAAATGTGGAATCTTTTTTTTTTTTTTTAGATTTTATTTTTATTTTACTGTGTATGAGTGTTTTGCCTACGTGTATGTAAATACACTATATGAGTGCCTGGTGCCCATGGAGGCCAGGAGAGGGTATCATTTCCCCTGGAACTAGAGCCAAAGACAGTTGTTAGCCACTGTGTGGATGTGGAAACTGAACCTGGATCCTCTGTAAGAGCAGCCAGTGTTCTTAACCACTGAGCCATCTCTCCAGTTCCAAAAAAAAAAAAAAAAGAAAGTTTTTTAATCATCCATCCAAAACTCCACTACTGGAAATGAATTCCATAAATTCGGTGACTGTCTAAGCAGATGCAAGCACTATTGCAGTACGCTGCTTCTCCATCCATCTGGACTATCTGCAAACAGAAACATGCCCTATAAACACATTTGCATTTTATAAAACCAAATGCAGAGCTATGAGATACAGACTGGCCTACATTTTGCCTTGTCTGTGAACATTATTGCATTATGAAATATTCTGGATGAACTCACCTTTTTTCCTTTTCTGTTTATTTCTCAGTTGTATTTCATGTTCCTTTGCCCTCTTTTCTAATGAATATTAGTTCTTCCTCAATTCTGCAAGAATACTTTATATGCCTATGCATTTTAACTTTATCCTTCATGTTATATATTAACTTTATCTGTTTGCCCCTTCCCTCTTATTTGTGTGTACATTTACTTTGTGTAGATACACTCTGTGAGTAAATCTGTGCTTCCTTCTTTGATTTCTTTTTTGCTTTCAATAAAGCGTAGAGCCTTTAACCTTAGAGCTTTACAGTTGTTTTCCACCTTGACACCCACTAATCATCACCTCTGCCAGGGAGTTCAGTGAACCTGACCAGTTTAAGTATGCCTTAATAAGAGGTCCATGATAACTGAGACTTATATAAGCTGCTTACTAGATGTTAGTCAGTCCACCCTTTGCCCAACTCAGAAAACCAAGGTGGAGGCTAGGTGACTTGCCTGAGATGCCACAGCTAGTAAAGAGCAAGATTTAGCCTCAAAGGTAGTAATCGAAATCATGTCTCCACGGGCTCTTTCCTGGTTCGCCTACCCTCCCCAGCAGGAAACCTCCTCCAGCAGATCACAGGCCTGGCTGCTGCTTCTCCCACTTCTGGGCACATTCTCTACTGGACTGTCTCCCCATGCATTGCCTGCATGGTGGCTTGTTCTCCTCAGCTTGACTCTCAAATCCGTCTGCCACAGCTCTGATTGTCTCTCACCTCCATGTCCTAGGCCTCTTTCTTGCATATATTCTCTTCCTGTCTCCTTCATGGGCTCATGGACTTTGCTTCTCAAACATCCCCCTTGGTCCTCTCAGTCCAGCTTGTCTGTAGTCTCCTCTCCCTTCTCCTCCCCGTAGACTCTGTCATGCTTTGGAACTCCACATTCTTCCTCAGTTGTCCTGAATATGCCCATTCTCCTGCTTGCACAGAGTAACAGTTCCAATTATTGATTTCGGAGAGGCAGCCAAATATTAGTGACCACTGACCAGACCCCATTCTCCCTGACCCCACTTAGAGACTGGTCCTTGTTCTGTGCTTAATCCTGGATAAAGAGACTTGTATACTTGGGTTGACAAGCCTTTGAGTGGACAAGAGAGGGGAAGGAATGTAGAATGTAAGTCACCTCAAGCAGCAGTCTGTGAGTGAGTACAGTGAGTGTGATGATCACCATTGCATCCCAGATCTGTCTTTGATGGGTCTATTTGCCATCAGACCTAAAGCCCTGTAGAGTAGGGTTTTTTTGTGGGACTTACAGGTGTTGTTTTGTTTTGTTTTGTTTTTTTGGTCTTTTTGAGACAGGGTCTCCCTGTAGCCCCAGCTGTCCTGGAACTCACTATGTAGACCAGGCTGGCCTTGAACTCACAGAGATCTGCCTGCCTCTGCCTCCTGAGTGCTGGGATTAAAGACGTGCACCACCACACCCGGCCCCCAAATGTGTAGCCTAAGCTGGTCTCCTGCCTCTGCCTCTTCAGCATATCCTACCCGTATGTGCCACCACTAATCGGTGGGACTTACAGGTTTTTGAAATACCTTTAGAATCAATAAAAATGACTACATACTTAATATCGGGTAGATTAAAAGAGTATAAAGAAGTAAAATTCCATGATCCCATTGCATGTATGGTTGAAGTTTCCTGTCATTTCTAGAGTTTATTTTTGTGGTGTTTACACTATGATAGATGGCTCCCACCAGTAGGGGCTTTATCATTGAAGCTTTTCTTTTTCTCCTTTCAAGTCCCATGTGTTAATCAAATGTCTGCTAGAACTTCATAGATTCCTGATTGGATTTCTGGACCTAACCTTTTGAGAAGAAAAGTGAAATGAGCTAAACTTTGCTTTTTCTTGAAATGAGTGTCTTAAGAACCAATAGAAAAAGGACTTCTAGGCTAGGGGGCATGCCTCTACCTCATGTGGTACTGTGCCTATGAAGTCCTTGGAGGAAGTAGGGCCTCCTACAAGGACCTAACATGCTGAAGGTGTAATTTTTTAAAAATACTTTATTTTTATTTTATGTGTATGAGTGTATTTCCTGCATGTATGTAAGTACACCCGGGTTGTGCATTGCTCACAGAGTTCAGAAGAGGGCATTGGATTCCCCTGGAACTGTATTAAGGACAGTTGTTTGCCGCCATGTGGGTCCTGGGAATCAAACCCAGATCTTCCGCAAGAGCAGCCAGTGCTCTTAACTGCTGAGCCATCTGTCCAGCCCCCGAAGGTGTAATTTTTAAGCCTTGGGTCTCAGTGCCTGAGTGCCCCCACCCCCCACTTGTTGGTAGAACTTCTGCTTTAGTGGGGCAGAGTAGAAGAAAGAGAAGTAGTTAACACTGGAAGATGGTAAAGATACTTTAAAGGGCAGAGGTTCCTCCCACCACCTCTGTGAGCCTGTTACTAGGCCATGCCTGACACTTAGAAGAGGAAGAAACCCAAGTTTTAAATAGATGTGCATGTAGCACCGAACTTTGAACTCTCAGTGTGTTGTCTGTTGTATTAATTTTTTCATAGCCACATCTACAAGGCAAGTTCTGGCTTTATTTATCCAAGAACCTGTGCCAATTTGGGACATTCTGTGGCAGTTTGGCTCTTTGCCTAAAGTTCATCTGTAATCAAATGAAAACAATAACACAGTTCATAACTCACCTAGGTTGATCTGATTTTGCTCCAGCAGCAGTAATTCACTGAGTTACATGCATCAGATGAACAGGTGGAGGCTGGAGTACCTCCTGCTGCCCAGAGCACAGCGTCACCCCTGAATCACTGGCCTCATCTTAGGCCCCTGGAAGTTCCATAGACAACAATTATTCTTCTTTCTCTTTTTCTTCCTCTTCCTCCTCCTCCCCTCTCCTCCCCTTCTTCCTACTTCCTCTTCTTCTTCCCTCTTCCTCTTCCTTTCTGTATAGCTTGAAAAAGTAGAGAAAGGAGGGACGTGAAAACAAATTAGAGACTGAGAAATGGGAGTCTTGATGGAGTTGGACCTCCAAAGTTAAACAGAGGAAGTCACAGGTTTCTCTTCGTATTGAGTCTCTGGAAAGTGCCAAATGTGTCCTTTGTCCTCTTTAGCAGGAAGATCTTCACAGGAAGAAGAAGCTTGAAGAGAAAAGAGAAGGAAACGTGCCAAATCTAAATTGGAATAAGAACCGAACATGTAGAAAAAACAAGAAGAGGGGTGCTGCTCAGGCCTCCAGGTATGCAGTCTCTTTACTAGTTTGATCCACATTTCCCTTTCAGCATTACCTTTCATTTCTGTAAAGTTGGGTAGGAAATAGAGTATAGTGTAGTGTTTTTAGATTGAAATGTATTTGTTAACACATTTTCTCATTGTGTTTTTAGTCTTTAAAAATACCATGAAATGGTCTTTAAAAATTTTTATCTGTCTTTTATAAAATGTTGAAAGCCATGGGAAATTTTAGAGAAAAGACCTAAGCCATCCCTCATGACAAAGCCTCATTCTGTGCATGTATAGCTGGAGCATTTGTGGAACAGGGCTGAGAAAGAGGCATCCCCTGCCCTCTGGGCCTGTAATATTGAGATAGAAGAGTTGCCATCCTCATCATAACCTTTACCTCAGAAAGGATGACTATTCGGCTTCAGAAAGTGAGGTTCCCATATGGTACAAGGCTTGCTTCAGGCCACGTGGTTGGTGAGGCAGACCCAGGGTGGAACCTAGGCAGTTGGCACTATGCCTTGGAAACCTGCTGCTTGGAGACACTTCATCTCCTCAGATGTTCATTTCTTCTGGAAGATTAGGGAGTTGGCAATGTGTTAGAAGCCCTGTGTTGCTGGGATCCAGAGCTAGCTCTTTAAACCAACTGTACTATAAGTTTCTCAGCTTGGGAATTGTAAATATGTTCATTCTGACTCCATATCCACCTCTGAGTTTTGGTTTCTCCTCTCAGACTCCCAGCACCCACATGTATATGGGAGTCTCTAGGGACACTCTCCCTTGCCTCATCTTCCTTGGGGATGTGAGCAGGGCTTTTTCAGGTTCCTTTTGTCTGAAGGATGTTCCCAGCTTTCTATAGGAAGCTCATTCCAGCTCCTGATACCTGTTCATCATAGTCCCTGAATAGCATGAAAGCCATGTCTTGCCAGGATCTTCTCTATGTTCCCCACATAGGCTTTTCTTTTTCTGAGTCCTGGTATCTAGAGATGCCACCACCTTGTGAGCTTTAGGTATTTTAATGTACTATTGCTGACAGTCTCTCCAGCACATACATGTTTGAGTGGGGGTAAGATTTCACCATGCTGCAGTTGAACTCACTGTTGGAAGGGTCTGTGGCAGAGCCACTGTGCTGTGTAGTGGCAGAAGCAACCATGGTGCAGTTTATGTCTGATCCTGGTCACCAAGGAGGTTTACATGCAGAGCTCAGATCCCCAAGGAAACTGCCATTGAGAACTCAGAACCCCAATGAAGCTGCCACCGAGAGCTCAGAGCCCCGAGGAAGCTGCTGTTCAGTGTTGTCATAGCTCCTTGCAGGTCCCATCTGTACTCCTGGACAACAATCAAGTGGTAACTCCAGGGTAGCTTCTAGGTTCTGTGCTATACCTAGTTCATACAGAGCAGTCAGCATAGTGGAAATAGGAGGAAATAAACGCGTTGCACACGGTATCCTATATGGATATTTTACTATTTACTTAATCTGTTGCTGTGATAAGATACCATGACCAAGGCAACTTATAGAAGGAAGAGTTTATTCATCTTTTGAGTCCAGAGGAATTACAGTCCATGATGAAAGAGAAGGCATGGTGGCAGAGGTGGCCAGAATAGAAAGCCGAGTGATCATATGTTCAAGCAGGCATAGGCATCAGAGGACGACTGGAAATCTGGTAAGGCTTAAGAACTCTCCAGTCCTTCCCAGTGATGTGCATCCTCCAGCATGCTCACACTTCCTAAAGCCTCCCAAAACAGCACCACTAACTTGGGACAAAATGTCTAAATAATTGAAGTCTGTGGGGTACTCCATTCAAACCACCACATTCCATTCCCTCACCCCCATAGCCTCATGGCTATATAAAATGCAAAATGCATTTGGTCTACCTTCAAAAGTCCCTGTAGTCTTTACCAGTCTCAATACTATTCAAAGTCCAGAGTCTAAAGGCTCTTCTAAGACTCAGGGCAATCTCTTAACTGTAAGCTGTATAAAATCAGAAGATTAATTACGTACTTCCAACATACAGTGGAACTGAATACACACGCCCATTCCAAAAGGGAGGAATGGGAACATAGGAAATACAGGACCAAAACAAGACCAAAACCCATCAGGGATACCACCAAATCCAGTAGCTCCATGTCTGACTTCTGGGATTTTACCTTCAAAGGCTTAGATGGCTCAGCCTTTAGATGGCTCAGCTGTGTGCAATGTACATCTCTCTTGGGCTGGTACCACTCCCTTATACTGCTCTTCTTGGCAGATGTCCCATGGCTCTAACGTCTCCAGTGTCTTAGGGTCTCCACTGCCAACAAGGTTTTACCTTCACAGCTTCATATAGTAACCTGCCAGGGCCTCTTGGCCTGTCAGGGCCTTCTTTATGTAGGGATACCCCTGCTGCATGCTGCCTGGCCTCAGCAGCTCTCTTAGACCACTGAGGAAGAGCTGATGATGCCTTTACTCTTGCTCCCTTCATGCCGCTAAAGCGAGTACCATGTGACTGACACTGCTAAATTCAGCTGTGAGGCTAGGATGGACCCTGGCCTACTTCATCCACATTAGCAGCTTTTCTGTGCTGTGGTTTTCTAGGATAGAAAACTCTTCCAGCATTTTTCCTTTCATAAATTGGAGGCTTACCTGGGTGTGGTCTTGCCCTGAGGGTGCGCCTTCCATTTTTCCAGTGCAGATCTCTAGGCCTCTCCTTAATGATCTAATCTCCTTATCAAAGAGAGCCTCTCTTTTAGCACATGCCTTGGCTCCAACATTAAGCTTCCTACTGCTCTTTTTCAATTCAAACTGTACATTTTGCATTTCTTTCTGCCCCACTTGATCCTTTTCACTGTAGAGCTGCAGACTAGTCACCATTTATAGCCACACCACCATTTCTGTGTTAGGCTGCCTTGAAGTTTCCTCTGCCAAAGAAATTAGTCCATTACTTTTAACTTAGCTTCAGACAGGCTCTTAGGCTGGGGGCAGACTGCAGCTAGGTGATTTGCCAAAATGTCGCAGTGGCTGCTTAAGTCCTTATTTCCCTCTGGAGTGACTGTGCTCTCAGCACTGTCTTCTTCCAGGCTCTTACTAGAGTGGCCTGTAAGCTCTACTTATGGCATCCAACAGCTTTTCTAGTCCAAACTTCCAAAGTCTTCCATATTCCTCCAAAAATCCACAGTCTTGTTCTCACAAAATTAGCCCATGCTCTGGTGCCAGCTTCTGTATTAGTTACTTTTCTGTTGCTGTGGTAAGACACCATGCCAAGGGTAGCTTATGAAAGAAAGAGTTTATTTGGCTTATGGTTCCAGAGGGATTAGAGTCTGTGATGGCAGTGGCCAGAGCAGAAAGTCAAACATTCACATCTTCAAGCAGACATAGGAAAGAAGCAGAGCATAACTGGAAATCTGGCAAGGTTTAAGAACTTTCAAGTCTACTTAAAGTGACGTGCTTCCTCCAGCATGACCACACCCCTAAAACCTCCCAAAACAGCACCACCAACTGGGGACAAAATGTCCAAATAATTGGAGTCTATGGGGGACATTCTCATTCGTACCACACAGGTATTTACACTAAATTATTGGAAAGCTGCAGCACAGTGCCTTGCAGGAAAGAAACATCCACCTTTTTGCATTCTCTTACCTGTATTTTCCTACACCTGATAGACTTTGAGTTCACTTTAAAGTATTATATTTTCCTAGGTATGAACATATAGAAGGATAAAAATAGAGTGTAGTTTCTCAGGAAAAAAATTTTATTATTTTTATTTTTTGTGTATGAGTGTATTGCTTGGATGTTTCTAAGTGTACCCATGTCGTGCAATGCCCATGGAGGTCAGAAGAAGGCATTGGGTCCCCTGGAACTGGAGTTATAGACAGTTGTTAGCCACCATGTGGGTGCTAGGAATCAAACCCTGGTCCTCTGCAAGAGCAGTCTGAGCTCTCAACCGCTGAGCCATCTCTTTAGACCCTCAGGAAACTTTTTTTTTAAAAAGAAGATTTCTGAGATGCCAAGGAAATGATTAAATTGTTTAAAAGTAACTTTCAGGTAGTCTGTAGCTGCTCAGTGCTGTGAACATGGTACAGAAAGAGTAGGTAGAGGCTACTGCACTGTGTCCTCTCTGTGCTTTTCCTGCCCACATACCTTCTGCCTTGATCTGAAGCAGCAGCATCATGTGCCACACCTCACATGTCTGCTTTCTTACTGTCCTACACACCTGACAAAGTACTGCAGTGGACTGTGCCAGAGAATCATTTAGTCACTTCCAGAGTATTTCTGTATTTCTTTTTTTCTTTTGAAAAAAGGAACCTAAGGAAACAGGGGCTTCCAGGCCTCTGGGAACTTGCTCATATGAACTTACAACAATGGTGACAACATGCACAAGACCCATGCCAACTCATTGAGACAAAAACCCAGCATAGAACTCAGGAAATGGGCAACTTTAGCCAAGGAACTATTGACTGATTACTGCAGGGTGAGAGACAGTTGTTGTTCTTTAAAGGAGAGACTCTAGGTAGGCTGACTAGACTCCAGTGGATGAACTTGCACCAAGGGGCATCTGGATACAAATGTTTGACCCGATAGGCCTTAACATATATGACAGAATGCATGAAATCCAGTGGGGGCACGATGGAGGGGTATGGGTAGGGGAAGGGGTCTAAATTCAATTAAGATCTATTGTATGAAATGCACAAAAACTCAATAAAAATATACATAAAATTTTTTATATTTGTGTGTGTGTGTGCGCACAGGTGTGGGGGGAGTGCATGTGTCTATGGAGGTGTGTGCATATGTCATTGTACACACATGTGGAGTGCAGAGGTCGATGTTAGGTATCTTCCTCAATCAGGTCACCTTATATTTTGAGACATTTCTCAGTGAAATGTTTCTCATGGAGCTTGAATCTCACTGATTGGCTAGAATGACTGACCAGGGAGTTCTAGGAATCCTCTCTCTACTTCTAGGGTTTACAGGCATGTGCTTCTGTGCCTGGATTTTTACATGTGTGTTGGGGATCAAACTCAGGTCTTCATGCTTAAGCAGCAATCTGCCCAGCCTGTGTTTCTACTTACCTGATTGTATTATAATTCCTTCCTTGAGGAGTTCATGGCTTAGTAAACAGAGGTGTAGTTTAACTTCAGAACCTTTTGAGGAAGAACTTGATTATGGGGAGCATAGCGATCAGTAAGCAGAATGTTTGCTAGATGAGTGAGAATAGGTTTGAGCCGACATTCAGTGTGTTCAGCCAGACACTAAGCAGCAGGCTCTTCCATTGAAAATGGAAGATAAGCCAAGATTCCTGGACGCTGGTCCTGAACCTGCCAGTTGTCCTTGAGTGACATTGTGGTGTCCATTCTTCTTACTATAAAATAAGAAAATAGAGCAAATGAGCCCAAACTATTCAAGCTCCAAAATGACAACCTATGTCGAGGGTCATGGTGTCAAGACTTAGTGTAGTGACTTGTGCCTGCTAAACACATGCTGTACCATTGAACCACAATTCCACCCCCCATACCTTTTAAGGGGCTTCCTCGCTTATCACTTTCCTACTGGTCTTAGAGAGGAGGCTTAGCTTGTACCAAATTGATACTTTGACCTGACAAGCCTCATGAGAAGAAGGTGCATTTATGTAACAACCATGGAGATGTGATTTTTTTCATAGCTCTCCTAGGCCTTCTGAACAGAGTGAACTGAAACTTGTGTGCAGTGACTTTGAGAGGCCGGAGTTGAGCAGTGACATCGGAAGCTGGTGTGTACAGGAAAGCACCAGGGAGATTTGTAAAGCAGGTGTGGAAACTGCGGGCAGCTCCCCTGCACGGAGAGAGGCGGGTAGGTAGTGTGGTTTCCCATGTAATCTTTACTTCAGAGAGTCCAGTGTGTGAGAAATGTCACTTTATAGCCATTCAGTTATTGGCAACCTGCATGGAAAGTTGTCAGGCTGAGATAAAAAAGTGTATGTTCCCAGCCAGGTATGATGGTGCATGCCTTTAGTCCCAGCACTCAGGAGGCAGAGGCAGGCAGATCCCTGCTGAGTTCAAGGCCAGCCTGGTCTACATAGTGAGTTCCAGGCCAGCTGGAGCTATAGGGAGGCCCTGTCTCAAAGACACCAAAGGAAAAAAAAAAACGTATGTTCTTTTGAGCATGAGCAAGTCTCTACTGTGCACTCCTCCTGCCCTAAAGCCTGTGCATTCCCAGCTATCCCTGTGCAAACTGCTGAAGGAGCAGGGTCAGCATGGCTCTCAGCAGAAACCCATGGGGAAAGAGAGGAGAGGATGGTAAGTCGGTGCTGTCCCACCCTGAGCAGGCTAGTTTTTGCAGAGCCAGGCTGCTGGTTCACCTGGGGACTTCTGGGTAATGTCCTGGGAATGGGAGCCTTAGGGACATCAGAGCCAGGGTAGAAGGGAGGATAGTGAGGCAGAGGGCCATTGAAGGGGTGTGGCATATGATCCATCCCACACTGACCGTCCCCGTACATCAGCTCTCTACAGGAGTGCACACGAGGTGGAACTGTCTGTTCTTCTCTTGCTCATTCTCTTGAAAGAAGGTTGTTACTTTTTGGTCTTAATCAGAGTTTCTTCCCCCACACATCAGTAATCAGCAATGTTTTGAAACCTTTCATGAACATTTTAATGAGAGAGGAGAAAATGGTCTGCAAATCTCTCATCTGTTCAGTTGAATAGACCCAATTCTCTTGATAGAAATTTTATTTCTAGAAATGTTTTTGTTAACTTTAGTCCGCTTTGTGCCCAGGGTTACACTTTATGAGCATGCTAAACCAGTGTTCCTCCGCTGAGTTCACTGAGCCCCTGGAGTTATTCTCAGATGCAAATTCTGCTTGGTTTTAATGTTGGTCCAGAGACAGCAGACTTTGCCCCTGCTCTACTGTTTCCTCAAATCCAAGAACTTCTTTTTTCTTGGTAGCTGAGTAGAGGTGGTGGCCCTGAACCTGACCCTGCTCTTCCTAACCTCACCTCTCCACTTGTTACCAGTGGCCCTAGTTGGAACTGTCTCAGTGAAGCACAGCCCCTCTTTCATCCCCTCCAGACAGTTACTACCGGAAGTCTGAGAAGAAGTGTGTGGACAAGTTTTGCTCAGACTCCAGCTCTGACTGCAGCAGTTCCTTGAGCAGCGTGCGTGCCAGCAGGGGCAGCTGGGGCAGCTGGAGCAGCAGTGGCAGCTCTGACTGTGACAGGAAGCCAGTGGTGGATGCACAGCACTTCCTGCTGGCTGGTGAGTCCAAGCACAAGGTTCAGGCATCCCTCACAAAAGACAGAGCAGACCGTGGCTTTGAAACTTCGCTTGCCTCAAACTTATTGCTTTCCTTTCCTCCTCTGTCCCTCCTGACCACCACCATGATGGGTATTATTCCATTTCTATCTTTGAAAAATTCAAAGACCTGTACATTTGAATGTCTTTTTATTATGTTAAAATATTTCAAACAATTTTAACCATGTGTAAGTGTACAGAGTAGGATAAAGCTAAGCAGTCTATGTGAGCACTGGAGCACCTCAAACGGAGCTGGTCTGGGTGCATGGCAGTCAACACGCAGTGGAAGGGGTCTGACTTATTCTAGTCTGGAGGTCTCAGGAAGGATGAGCAGGAGTGGACCTGGTCCTGCTGCAGGGATGTGGACAGCATGGGGAGGGTCTAACTAGCTATGCAGAGCAAATGTGAACCCCAGAGCAGGGAGAATGTCCTTGAATTCTTATTAATGTTAGGAATCGGTATTCATACTGGTTAAGGTCACATTCACATTGTTGTATGGCCGCCATCACCATCTACCACAAGAACTTTCTACCCTTCTAAACTGAGATTCTGTTTAAATAGCACCCCCATTTCTCCCCAAGCCTCTCTTCCAGTCTCTGTCCCTACAAATTTGACTGATAAGGCTATCTCAAACAAGTGGAATTATGTATGAGTGTGGATCATTGTCTTATGTGGATTATGGGTCATGTATATTCGTCATCTGTAGATCATGTATGATGGTGGACCATATGATTGTGGATTGTGGATGATTGTCATATGTACATCATATATAAGTTTGGATCATGTATGATTGTTTTATATGGATCATATATGATTTCAGATGTCTTATGTAGATCATATATGGCTTTGGATTATGTACAATTGTTTTATATGGATCACATATCATTGCAGATCATGCTTGATTGTCTTATGTGGATTAGGTATGATTGTGGATCATGTCCAGTGTCTTTTGGTGACTGGCTTATTTCACCTAGCTTAATGTCCTCATGCCTTATCTGTGTTGCAGAACATGTCAGAATTTCCTTCCTTTTCAAGGCTTATTCATATTCCTTTGTGTGTATAGAGTATGTTTCTCTATCAGTTATGTTCATCAGTGGGCACTTGGTTGCTTTACATTTTGTTTATTGTAAACAGTGCTGCTATGTACATTACCCTCCTTTACTTTTGAGAATTTAATGATACAGGTGGGATCAGAGTTCGGAATATGTTTTTGTCACCTAGAATTAATAACTCTTTTTCACATTTACTCTTGGTATTGTTTTTAAATTTCTCTCTCTGTCTCTGTCTCTCTCTGTCTCCCCCCCCCCCCCCCCCCGTGTGTGTGTGTGTGTGTGTGTGTGTGTGTGGAGGCCAGAAGACAGCTTTTGGGAATTAGTTCTTTCCTTCCACCATGTGGGTTCCTGGGATTGGACTTGGGACACCAGGTGTAGTCACAAGCTCCTTCAGCAGCTGAGTTATCTTGCTAGCCCTCTTTTTCTTCTTTCCTTGTTTGTTTGTTTTTTAATTTAATTTTATTTATTATTTTTCTTTTATGTGTATGAACGTAGTGCCTGCATGTATGTGAGTACAACTGTGTCATGCAATGATGCAGAGATCAGAAGAGGGCATCGGATTCCCCTGGGACTGGAGTTAAGGACAGTCTTAGCTGCCATGTGGGTGCTGGGAATTGAGCCCAGGTCCTCTGCAAGAGCAGTCAGTACTCTTAACTACTGAGCCATCTCTCCAGCCCTGTCTGTTTTTCTTTTTATTATTATTATTATTTTTTATTTTATGTGTATGTGTGTATTGCCTGCATGTATGGAAGTGCACCATGTCGTGCAATGCCCGTGGAGGTCAGAAGAGGCTGTCAGATCCCCTAGAACTGGAGTTACAGACAGTTGTTAGCTGCCATGTGGGTGCTGGGATCTGAACCCAGGTCTTCTGCAAAAATAGTCAGTGTTCTTAACTGCTGAGCCATCTCTCTGGCCCGTTTGTTTTTTAAGAAGAAAAAATACCTTAATCCTCTATCCACTTTCTCCTCCCTGGGAATCACTACTATTAATTCGGTGTGTACTTTTAGTACATTTTTCAGTGTTCATAATTCCATCAGCCAGACGGGACTGTTTGTTTTTAGCTTATGTAAATGAGACACCGACTCAAAGGAGCATCTGCTGCTTGCCGTCTTTCACTCACTGCTGAATTTTTTTGTAGTCCTGTGCTCACAACTCATTCTGTTTAGTTATTTTCAACACAGTGAAAGGGAAGAGCAGTGAGACCCATTTAGGCTTTACTTCTGTGGTGCCTGTGTTTGTGGAGAGGCCCAAGCATCCCTGAGAAGGGCAGGTATGTGTCCCTGCTCCCTGGCTGGAACTGAGGACTTGGGCTTGGAGCAGTTTTGCTTTGTTCAACACCATGCAGCGTACTGGACAGTAGCTTAAGCCTGAGCCTGTGACTTCTTCCTCGAGGCCTAGGACACTTGCCATCTACCTCCTGCCCTCCCCACAGGGTTACCTGCAGCACTAGACATGCCTGGAGCCCAGTACCAGCACTCAGGAAGGCTACAACAGAGGGATTGTGAGTTTCAGGTCAAAGGCAAAAGGACAAGACCTTGTCTCAAAAACAAAAAAAGGGACTGTGTTTTAGCCCAATGGTAGTGTACTGGCATAGCATGTGCAAGGCCCTGTGTTCCCATCACTGCCAAGAAGTTCCAAATCATGAGATGCCAATGCAGTAGCAGCTGAAGGCCCTGGAGAAAGACCCCACCTGTGACTCCAGCCAGCGCTTCTCAGATCCTTTCCATTTTCTCTCCCCACTGACATTTTTTTAATTCTTTCCTAATACCCTCCAGAACATTCTAACACCATAGATAAATACTACATGTCTTTTTATTTCTGAGGATTGTGCTTTTATATGGAAAAAGATAAGATTTTTCTCAGCCTCTATGAAACAAACAGCTCCCTTCCTTTGGGACAGTGTCAGCCCCAAGGAAACACAAATTAGGTGAAGGTGGACATTTAGCATTTGTTTGATGGTGGAGAACACTTTCCTGGCAAGCAGCAGCTTGGTTTTCATGTCCTACTGTTTGCGTTCTTTCATCTATCAAAGGATTGAGGGTTATCTATCTGGTGGTGCTAACATGGGGCTGGAAATGAATACCTAACATTGAGAAAAAAGTAGAAGGGCAGTTTTTGCTTGGCAAGAAAGGGTGACATTGGAACAGTGGTAAAATTATCAAAGCTGTTACTGTACAGTGATGTAGCATACGGTCTTTAAGTTGTATTTGAAGGTTACATTATGGCAGGAAAATGTCCTGAGTTTGAATCCCCAGCACCCACATGTAAGCTGGGCATGGTGACATGGTAGGACTGGAGGGCCAGTGCAGAGAATGGCAGATTCCTCCAGCTTATTGGCCAGGGTGTCTAGCCAGTGGGTGAGCTCTGGGTTCAGTGCAAGGCCCTGTCTCAGAAAACAAGGTGGAAAATGGTAGAGGAAGACACCCAGCATTGATCTCTGGCCTCCACATGCGAATACATACTTGCACATACACATATACAAATATACATATACAATAAAAGAAGGAATGTGTGATTGTCAGTTTAAAGTGAAAACAAATCACTTGGGGCAAATACCAACAATCTGCTTTTAGAAGACAGCTATGCTAACTACTATACCATCACCACCCATCTCTGCATTTTAATACTGAGTATACAGTTGAATTACAAAGACAGCCTCTGATGTTGTGTTATTGTTAATGCAGGAGACGGTGTTTCCCACCACAATTTTCCCTCTGAGGCTCCCATCGCCTTGAACCTCTCTCACCATATCTGCAGCCCCACGTGAGTGCTCAGCATCCTCACTACCACAGTGCTGGATGTTCTACTTGGTCTGTCAGTCAGGGTGGTACTTGTTGGTACTTTGTTCTAAAGGTTAAAATATGAAAGCCTTTTAAAGACACAGCAAAGCAAAATCTGATATTTATAACTCAAAGGAACAATCATTTCAAGTAGACAGGGTTGGTATGGGAGTGTCTGGTTTCAATAGCTTGTCAGGGACACCACCACACTGGAAAACATGTCTCCTCTGAAAGCAGAAAGAGGAAGCAGGAGTTACTAACGATGGGTATGATCTCCCATGGGCTAGGACTTGAATTAAAACAACACTGATGGTTCCAAGAACATGGTAGACACATGTACAGTTTCTCTGGGTGATGCTTCCTGCCGCATTGGATGAAAAAGACAGGTACAGCCATCCCTCAGTGTCTGTATGCATGGGTTCCAGGATCCACACACATTCCAAACTCTACAGTTGCTTAAGTCCCTCATGGATAATGGCACATGCCTATAATCCTAGCACTCAAGAGGCTGAGACGGGAGGATTGCCGTGAATTCATCTAGCCTGGGCTGTATAGCACAAAGTACTAGGCCAGCCGACCAGGGCTACATGGCAAGACCCTGTTTGAAAATAACAACACCAAAGTGGCAGTGTTTGCACAAAACCTGTTCCCATCCTCCCATTTCCATTAAATCGTCTCTAGATTGCTGATAGTGCCTAATGCAGTATAATGCTTATACTACATTATTTAGGGAATAGTGACAAGAAGATAAGTTTATACATTTTCAGTATGGACTCAACCTTCTAAGGTTTGATTCCAGAGTACATGTTGTTTACAATGAAATGTTTCCCCTAAATGTTTTCAGTCAGTGCTTGGCTGAGTCCACTCATGTGGAAACTGGTGACAGAGAGCCAGCTGTACCTTTCATAGTGGGAGGACTGCAGGGTCTGCATGAAAGAGCATTTCAGAGTGGCACGTGGTAGGTTTCCTGGGTGCCTCCCTGTGAGACGACAGGAGGATGGAAGCAGAGGGGTAGATAGGGAAGAGGAGAATCGTGAGCAGTAGGAAAGCTCCCTGTGAACATTTTGTTAGAGGAAGAAAGTAGACCATCTGTGAAGAACTGTGTGGCCTGGGGTAGGCAGAGTGGAAGTGCAGCTGACCTCACCATGGCTGCATTGTTCATTCAAGTAAGGAAGACTTCACTGGGCCTTGGGTATTCAGTATCCTCAACTCCTGTCTGGCTGTGTATCTTTAATATCTGTGTGTTTCTGTGGGGAATTCATGTGAAAATCGAGTAAGATTTGGTTATGCAGTTTCTGAATTTCTTTGTGCACAGAACTCAGTATTTCCCTCCTGCCACTGCCCACAGAGCTGAGAGTGGCGTCCCGAAGTTCACAGAGCCTTCCCGTCCTGGTCCTCCTGCTGCATCCGGGGGTGCTGAGGAAGAAAAGGGTAAGGCCCTATGTTGGGCATCAGCCAAGTGCTCTGCACACCTTCCTGGCTAGGAGCTGGAGAAGGCACCACAGGGGACCCCTCCATGCCTTGTTTGTAGGCGTTAGGAGGGTGCCTGCTTGTGGACAGCCATGGCTGTCCCAGGTAACCCTTGGCAGCAGTGCTGACACAGATCCTAGTTCTGCTGCCCCGGGACATCACGGAGCCCCTCACCTGAGCCTCCTGCTTCACTGAGTTCACTTCTCTAGTCAGAGATGACGGAAACTAGGAGGGCATGTAGCCCCAGAGAAGCCAGACTCAGCTGGGGAGTGAGCTGGGGGTAGGGAGTTTCCCTGCCCTCACCTGTCCCTCTCCTCCCCCAGCTCACCTTGTCCTAGGAGCCTGCTAACTTGGCCCCAGCAGCTGGGTGAGCAGCCTTGCCGCCTGCACCAGTGCCGAGGCAGAGAGCAGAGCTAGCTCCCACCTCTTGCATGTGGGTTGATGGTGGCCTCAGACCATGGAGATGGGGGTGGCTAGAGGGAACCCCACTCCTGTCGGGGACTGTCAGTGAGGACCTTGCTGCAGCCCCACCCCTTTCTGTTTTCTCTTTCTCCTACCTCTTCTGTCTTCTACCTCTGTCTTTTCTCTGCTTTCCTGTTTTATTCTAGGACTTCGGCCAAATCAGGGTCAGGAATCATGGCAGGCATGCCTCATTTTCACTCTCCATGACAGTATTAGCTTTGGTATGCATACTTACCTCTGTGCGTGTAATTCATGCCAAACAAAAAGCTGCTCAGTTGGAAGCTGAGTCAGGAGAATGAGCCTTCCAGGTCAGTCTTTTACATAGTGAGACCCTGTCTCAAAACAGAACAACAAAAGCTGTTCTGCCCAGTGGAGAATTCCCCCTAGGAAAGCATAAATAAGGCCACGTGCTGCTGTGTTCTCAGCTGTTAGATTATTAACAAGCAGGATTATTCATGAATCAGACCTAATGACTAATTCAAATAAGATAAATGTTTTTAATGAAATAGAATGGAAAAATCCATTCATTTCTACTTCACCAAGACAAGCCTGGAGGAAGATTTTAGATGGTACTACTGCTGTTTCTGTGAGGTAATAGAGGATAGGCTTTAATTAATGACAGGGAACAGTTTTTTAAAAAGTGAACAACACAACTCTAAACAGATACCCAGGACTAGAATGTAGCTGAGTGGTAGAGCACCTGTGTGCTTGCTTGCCCTAGTTCTCACTACCAAACCCAGATGCCTGTTAGTGTGTGTTACTTTATGATCTTGTTTTGACCCTTAGAGATTTCTGTGTGACCTGGTATCCCCAGCTGTGTTTATGTTTCAGATGCCTTTGACTGGCACTCATTAATAATCTACAATAACTTTTTGATCGCCTTTTCTTGAGCTCACTAAATAGATTGTCTCCATGGTCTGGCTGTGTGCCAAGTGATGGTCCTGCTCATTTTTCTGTCCCTCTCCTGTCACATACTTCATTTCTGCCCTGCAGTACTGCTCTGGTCCCTGGGAAGCCATTTTTTTGACTCCTGTATATTACTGTCTTCATTTTGCAAAGACTATGGTAGTGTTGCTCATCCTGCCCAGCCCCACCTGTTCTGAGGAGTAACATACACCTGCTGGCCAGCCCTGGCATTTCCAGCCACTCCTTTCATGTAGCCCACTATGGCATCTGCTGCCCCTCCTGGTTCCATCACTCTCCCCCTCCTGTCCCCACACTTCACCACCTTCTTACATATGTGCAGGAACAGAAGCCACTGTGAAAACTTGTGTTCAGCAGTCCTGCTGCTCTACCTTTCCTTGCTTCCTGCCAGAAGCATAGTGCCGAATCTTTCCAGGAGCTGTAGGCCCAGTCCTCTCTGGCCTCATCCCTCCCTTCCTTTCACCCTCTGGTCACGAGAATCCTTGCTGTGGAGACTCAGTAATACCCAGGTCCTTTGGAGACTGTTCCCATCCTGGCATGAGCTTCCCAGACACATAGCTCATTCCCTGTCCTCAGTCACACCTTCAGTGGAATGTGCCCTCAGTGAGATCTGGACCACCCTGCTCAAAATTGCCACATGACCATCTGCCATGTTGTGCTTCTGCTCACTTGAGCATCCTTCACTGCTGTACCCTGGGATCTGTGACAGAGCCTGCCAACCATGTCAGCAGACAGTTGTACACCCTCTGAGGCAAAAACCAAAGCAGACGCTGCCTTTTAGCCTTAAATCCTGAAATAATGTCCCCAAAGGAGTCAGAAAGCAGCAGAAGTTACCATGTGTGTGTGCGTGTGTGCGTGTGTGTGTGTGTGTGTGTGAGAGAGAGACTGTTTTCTGAAGGGAGGAGGAGAGGAGCTGGGTGCTGTGGGAGGGTGACTGAGGGCCAAGTGGGGAAGGAGGTGTACTGACAGGCCTCACGGTCCTCCTTAGGTCTGTATCCACCCGGAGACCTGTGGTCTCCCCAGCCAGTGTGTCTGACCAGCAACTTCAACTGCCCTGTGGAGAACAGCACACCTGGTGTGACTCAGGAGCCTGCCCCCATCCCTGACAGGTAGGCCTCACTGCTCTGGTCCAGCTCTGCTTGGCCTAAGCTTGGCCTAAGGCCCTGTAGCTAGATCTAGAACTCTGTTAGGGCGTCTTCTCGTACCATGACTGAGCCCTTGGGGGCTTTTAGCTGTGTATTTTCTGCCTTTTAGAGTTGTATTATGCTGTTAAAACAAACCAGGCACTGAGAGAAACATGAAATAAAAGCACTAAAGCTGGTAACCCTGTCAGACTTTCCTCTGTAAATCTAGGGATGATGTCATATATGAAGCAAATTTGAAAGACACTCATTTCCTGGTCCCTGGCTGAGTTTCACTTTCCCATGACGTTGTTCCTGAACATATATTTACAAATTTGGAGAGCCTGATTATCAAAATACTGTTATGCCTCTTCAGTTCGCCATTCAGTATTAATACTCATTCAGTTAGGGGACCTGGAATAATGTTGATGTCTTTGTTGTCAAAGGATCCGCTTGAAGGCTTTGGCTTTAGCTTATAGCAGCATTGTTTCCTGTGTTTTCTGCAATTAGAATTCAGTTTGCTGTGGTGATCACAGTGGGAGTCTGTCTAGTGGTGACTTCTAAGCCAAATGTCTGTTGTGTTGTGTGACAGGTAGGCATTTGATTAGCAGAACCAAGGTGAAGCCCTTCAGGTCTGTGCTGAGACACTTTGAGGCATCCCTGTTGCTTTTCTGTGGTGCTGATAAAGCTGCAGCCAGCTTCTGTGTCTAGCTAGACCTCACAAATAGTGTTAGGAAGACAGTGTGCCTGCCTGCCCCTTGCCCAAGCCAGCTGTCCTGCCAGTGGGATGTCATTGGCAAGAATCATTGAGTAATAAGCCTTTAACTCTGACTTGACAAAACACATCTTTTATTGTCCTGAATTGGGGACTTTGCAGGTTTGGATTTGGGGGAATAAAACTGTTTTCTTGTCTTTACTTGATCTCTGGTTTGCTGCTTCTGAAACTAGACCTTATTTCTTTGTAGCAGTTTCATTGATTGGAGTGCAACTTGCGAAGGCCAGTTTCCCAGTGTTTATTGCCCACTGGAACTGAATGAATACAATACCTTTCCAGAAGGTAAAAGCCTTTGATCCATGCTAGTGCCATTCTTTCATTCCCAGAAGGTCAAAGCAAGCGGTGTGTGGACTTTACCACTCACGAAGAATGCGCCTTTCAGCAGTGAGGGGACTTGAGAACACTCCTGCGCTGGGCTACTCTGGATCCATGCGTGCACACAGACATAGGCAATTTCGAATGGGCCCCCAGCAGCCCTCAGTCTGATATCTAGGACATTCTTTGTGTAGCGTTGCTCCATTTAGTCCTGTAAATTGGGCAGAACTGGATCATCTCTTTTTCTGTGGACCTAACAGTGTAACTTAATCTGTTGGGAGGCTGGCTCACTAGTTCTTAGGCAGACAAGTCTCATGAGATACAGATTTTTTTTTTACCATATCCTGACTGCCCTGGGGTATGAGAGGTGCTGCAGAAGGAGGGAAAAAAATCTGCAGCAGAAATTGTGGACAACTACAGATGTGTAGTCTCAAATCATATGTCATAATAAATAATTTAAGAATTAAGGTATTGCCCCAATAATCATTTGAAAACTATAGAATACATTTGGTCCTGCTTTCTCACCCCAGCACTATCTCCAAGCAAGTCCTGTGTCAGGGCTCCGGCACATGCATCGCAGTGGGCTAGCCACAAGGGGGAGCTTTGGTAACTTCCTCCCATGGGGACTGGGAGGCTTTGTAACCCTTACTTTCTTGCAGATGTCTAAGAAGTACTTTGTTCACAGTTAACTTTACTAGACCCTATTGTACACGCAGGTGGCTGAGATGGCATGGCAGGCAGTTAAGAAAACTGAGAAGAGTATAGCTTGGTGATAGAACACTTGCCTAGTCTGCATGAGACCCTGGTGGTCTATCCCTAGCTTTGGGGAGCTAGAGGTTGTTAAGGATAGGTAAGACCTGACACTGTTCACATCAGTGTTCTAAGCATACTTAGTACCCTGGAAATACTCCCATGAAATGATTAAAAAAAAGACACATAAACCCCAAGGAACACTTTATGCTCTGAGGGCTCCAGGTGGTATGTCTTAACTGTCAGACTAGCAAGGAACCCACATATTAGGTCTGCCTTTAACTGGTTAGTATAGTAAATCTCAGGAAATTTTCCATTCAAGAGTGAGAATTCAGTAATGTTTATGAAAATGTTCCTGCCTCCCATTCCTCATAGAAAACATGAATTACACCAATGGCTTCCCTTGCCCCACAGAAGTTCAGACCGACTTCATTGGCCACGGCTCTCACTCTACCTGGAACACCCCAGCCAACGTGCCCACTGCCTGGGGACATGCCAGTTTCGTCAACTCTCCAGTGAGTATTGCTCTTCCCATATAGTTCCGGTTCTCGTTAACCCTTATTCCTGATCTTGGCTTGCTTCAGCATTGAGTTCAGACCAGGCAGAGCTGGTGGGGTTTCTTGTCACAAGAGCAGACTGGCCATCTTAGGGAGGAATGTGTGTGTGGACAGATGGTAGAGACTCATAGCCAGGATAGTCCTAGACTTCACCAGAGTAAAACTGAGGTTGGGCCAGGAAGCCTGTGACACAGCTGTCTTTATGTCACCTCTGTGGTCTTTCAATTGTGATAGAAATGAAATGGAAGTTCCACAAGGTCATTGCATCAGTCACCATGTCCATGACACGCTTTCTTTTTTTACAATATTTTATTTATTATTTTTATGTTATGTGTATGCGTGTATTGCCTGCATGTAGGTAAGTGCATCTAGTCGTGCAATGCCCTTGGAAGACAGAAGAAGCTGCCGGATCCCCTGGAACGGGAGTTACGGGCAGTTGTTAGCTGCCATGTGGGTGCTGGGATTCGAACCCGGGTCATCTGCAAGAACAGTCATTGCTCTTAACCGCTGAGCCATCTCTCTAGCCCCCTGCCACACTTTCTTAACTATATGAAGGATATTTGACTGTGAGTCCTTCCTTAGATTGCAACCAAGTTTATCCAATTAGAAAGAATTTCATAGTCCTCCTTTTGAGAGAAATGGAGTTAAAGCAACCCAAACTGTTCAGACCAGTTTAACAGCTCCCAGGTAACTTGGCTGGTGCCATGTTGGTATCCCCTGGAGTGTCTGTTCAGCCTCAGAGTTGCCTCTTGAAAGCCTCTTCTCCTTTGTAAGCATTTTTCTCTTCTCTGTTTTCACTTAGTCTTACCTCACCAGCACTCGAAGCTTGTCTCCCATGTCTGGACTTTTTGGTTCCATCTGGGCCCCGCAAAGTGATGTGTATGAAAATTGCTGCCCTATCAGTCCAACCACAGAGCATTCGACCCACATGGAGAACCAGGCAGTCATGTGCAAAGAGTACTACCCAGGGTTCAATCCGTTTCGTGCCTATATGAACCTGGACATATGGACTACCACAGCAAATCGCAATGCCAACTTCCCACTGGCCAGAGACTCTAGCTACTGTGGGAATGTGTGAAAGGATTGGGATTTTCAACAATGTGAATAAAGGGCCTTGTGTTTTGATTACTAGCATAAACTGGTTGTTGAGATAGATTATGACATTGGTGGATATTTTGGCACTTTTATAAAAAATAAATGTTTTTTTATGAAATCTGGGTGCTCTGTCTTTGGAACTTTTTATAAAATGTGTTGGAGACTCACCATCCGTCTGTGTAACTCCCACCATTCAGGAAGTGAGATGGTAAAAGGAAGGGAGTGGCTGGTCTCGTCGGTGAACACTGGACCCCAGGAACATTTGACATGAAGCTGCTCCAGCACCATTCTAGAAAGTTTGACTTAGTTCATCGATGGTTCTGGCAGTCAGGGCTTTTGAAAAGCCCCACATAGCTTATCCCTACAGCCTATGAGAAGAAGCCTGGCTAGAAAAGCCTGCCTAGCAGGAAATCATTTCCCTGATGGAGGCCCATGATAGAGGGCACTGTTTTCTGTCCCCCTTATGGTGATCATTCTTCCTGCCCCTCTGCCAGGCCAGTCAGTGGGAACTTCTGGGAAGTGTTGGCCTTCCTTCAGGAAGGGGGCTCAGCTCAGTACTATTGCGTAGGAGACTCAGGTACTGGTGCCAGACAAGTGTGTCTGCTTGTCACTGACCTTGGGAGCCTACTTCATGGTGCATTACCAATCTGCCATGTGTAAACTTTGAAAACATAGTTTTCAATAAAAGTTGTTTTAATATTCTACTTTGTCTTTATTGGAGATTCAAGTTGGAGTGGTTGGAGTAGGGCGTTACATCTGTTTGTTTGGGGCTCATTCCTTTTACTTTGGTTGAGTTGGGGGCCAGGACAGGAAACACGTGTCTATAAGCTCAGGACTTCCCCTCATAGGGGAGCTTCTGGGAGGTCTCCAGTTGCCAAGTCAGAATCCTGGTTTGGCTAAAGCAGACTACCACTCTATGAGTGAATCATTTTGTTGTTGTTCTGGACACATACCCAGTAGAATGGAAAACAAGAACTTAAGTATCTTAATACTAGTGTTAATGGCATTATTCACCAAAACCAGAGTGGAAACAGCCCATATTTGTTGACAGCTAATAAACTAGTTTATCCATACCACAGAACATCATTCTGCCTTAAGGAGGAGAACTGCTATGTGCTGCATGGATGAGCTTTGAAAACATGCTGAGTGGAATAGGCTGGGTAAATACTGTGTGGTTCCTGAAACCTGGACTAGACAAAGGGACAGCAGAAAAGCGGCTTCCGGGCTGAGAGGAGGGAGTGGGGATTTAGTGCTCAGCAGCATAGAGTTCCAGTTTGGGACGGTGAGTTCTGCAGATGGATAATGGTTATGCAACATTTGAACAAGAAATCCAACGAGCTATACACATACAGTTAAAATGGTTAATTTTGTGATGTATATTCACCACACTAAACAACTAGAAGAGAGCCCTAAAACATGTTCAGGGTCAAATTCACCCCTCTGAATTGTTTTTCTAGTGTTTTCCTTCTTTATCTCAGTTCCTCACCAAGAAAGTGAGAGCACAATACATTTTTAGAGAATTTATTATTTTATGTGTATGAGTGTATTGCCTGCATGTATGTAAGTGTATCCATGTCATGCAGTGCCCGCAGAGGCCAGAAGAGGGTGTCAGATCCTCTGGAACTGGAGTTACAGATGGTTGTTAGCTACCGTGTGGGTACTGGGAACTGAACCCGGGTCCTCTGCAAGAGCAGCTAGTACAGTGCTCTTAATTGCTGAGCCATCTAGCAAGCCCCTCACTGCATTATTAACTGAGGACTTGCAAATTCAAATTATAAATGAATAGCAAAATCTTTGCATTCAAATTGCAGTATGTGGTTTGAAGAATACTTATCTACGTATGAAATGATAGGGTCCTCTGCAAGAGTACCTAGTACAGTGCTCTTAACCACTGAGCCATCTCTCCAGCCCCACGATACGTTTTTTATTCTGTTACACAAAGTGAAATTCTTCACTTTCACCGGAATATCATTTTTAACCTTAAGACTAAAATAAGGAACCTGGAAGTTTTCATTCCCTTAAATATTCATGCAACTGAGGCTGGGAGCTGGCCCTGAGGCCATGGTCATAGAGCAGAGATAAGACCCTATGCATCATCATAACCTAGAAGCAGGACAGGAGAGAAAATATTAAAGATTGAAGCATTCAGTCCTCTAGGGGTCATTGAGATGTGAATTAGGGGGAGTTGGCAAGCAGGTCCTCCACAGTGGTCAGGGAAAGTTTCCGAGGTACATTTATTTGAAGTAGAAACTTGAACCCCAAGAGAGTTACAGGGCCAAGGTCAGTGGGCAAAGCAAGTACAAAGGCCCTGGATTCTGCCACTCCTGCACCTGGGGCTTGTTGATTTGGGGGCCACAGTGGAAGGATAAGTCCTGTTAGCCACTAAAAGAGGAATATTTTCCTGCGTGTGCAACAGAAAGCACTGTCACCTAAATTTGAAAAGAACTGCTTAGAAGTTGGCCACCACGGTCTAAAGGATGAGGGAGTGATGGCATGTGTAGATGAAAAGTCCTGCTAAGGTGTGCACAGCACGCCCATCCCTTGGCCTTGTGAAGGGTTAAAGTGATGCATGGGTCTGTCAGGGCCCACGGTGGAGCTGTGAGGAAGGGGAGCAGTGTGGCTCCCCCGGACAGCGCGAGCTGATGGCCCTCAGGGCCCTGGGCACAGTGCCACATGAAGTCATGAAGAGGTTCCTGCAGTTCTGTATCCAGGGCACTTCCACCTGTCTGCAGGTGTAGACGCCACAGCACGGGGAGCCCGAAGGTCACCTGCCTTCAGCCTGACCACCTTGGACCCTGCCACCCCTGTCCACGGACGTCAGCCTTGTCACCTTGACCCCGACCCCAGAGGAACGCCCATCTGGGCACTGCCCACACTGACTTCAACCTCACCACCTGCCAACCTTCGCTGTTCCGTTTCCTCCTCTGCACTAGGGGATAATAGTGGTCTGTGCCTCCGAGAGGATTAAATGACTTGGTGATTAGATAACACAGCACAAAGACCCTCAACCCTCATTGCTGTTACTTGATATAGTCACTGTCATCACTTGAAAGAACCAGTGGCAGGATAAACATTAGGTTTCAGCTTGGCAGGGGTCATTTTTATATGTAACTGGTAGGATTCCAGATTACCTGCCTTGTGCCTTTAAAACACCAAGAATTGACGCTGAAGGAAAATAATGACAGATGTGCACAAAGAATGCTTTTTTATTTACTCATATTACAAATGGACTTAGAACATTTATAGTCAAAATATAAATACAATAACATTTATTTTACACACATTTTTTTTCTAAAACTGGGACTTGAACTTAATCACACCTTCACTGAGCTGCATCCCCAGCCTTTCTTGTTTTTTGTTTTTATTTTGAGATAGGTTCTCACTAAGTTGCCCAGGTTGGCCTTGAATTTGTAACACTGCCTCATCCACGCAGGTTGTTGAAATTATAAGCCTGTGCCACTATAGCCCCCTAAATTTTTAAAAAACTTTTACCTGTATCAGTGTTTTGCCTACGTGTAAGTGTACCTTTGCTTGCAACGCTCATGGAAGCCAGAAGAGGGCATCAGATCCCCTGGAACTGGCGTTAAGATGATTGTTAGCTGCCAGTGTGTGTGCTGGGAACCAAACCCCGGTCCTCTGTAAGAGTAGCCGGTGCTTAACTGCTGAGCCATCTCTCCAATCCCCTAACTCTTTCTAACTGTATCTTTGAATTTAACCAGAGAAGTCATTAACATGGCCTGTTAAAAGTGAGTCACTTTTCTTACTTTACTTTTCTTGAGTATAAGACATGAAAAGATAGCTGAATAATTGATGAAAAAAACAGTTCAAAGTAATGTATACTGAATGTTTCTAAGTGGTACTTCTAGCAGAATTTTGCAAATTCTGCATCTTGCCAGACATTCATGAAGGTTGTGGTGGTTAATCTTGGACGTCAACTTCACTGGATCGGAAATCATCTAAGTGAGAAACTGCTGAGCACAGCTGTGAGGGAGTTTTTTGCTGCTGTTGTCATTTGTTTTGTTTTGTCTTTTAGAGGCAGAATCTCCCTTTAGCCCCAGTTGGCCTGGAAACTCACTATGTAGACCAGGCTGGCCTCTATTTCATAGAGATTTGCTTGCCTCTGCCTCCCGAGTGCTGGAATTAAAGGCGTGTGCTAACATGCCTGCAGGATTTTTCTTCATAGGTTATTTGAAGAGAAAAGACCCACTGTAAATGTAGACAGCGCCTTCCAGTGGCAGTTGATAAAAGGAAGTCTAAGGGAAAGGCTTTGCTCTTTTCTGGCTTCACATTTAGCTGTGGCCACCTGCTGTCACATTCCTTTGCAAATACCAAACCCCACCCTCTTCTGGCTCCCAACGGAAGACCAATGGCTTCCCAGGCATCCTCCAGGTCTTTAGTGCCAGGTTAGAACTGCTGAGGCATCCAGCCTCCTGGACTAAGCAACTCCTGGATTCTCAGCCTCTCCAGGGTGGGACAGCCATCATTGAACTGCCCAGCACGTATTGTGTAAGCCAATGTAATACATTCCCTTTTAATATATACTCATTCAATGAGTTTTGTTCCTCTAGAGAACCCCAATCAATGCAAAGGTCAAGGGTTTTTGTTTTTGTTTGTTTGTTTTTTTAACCTCCTTGGGATTTTAGTTTCATAGGAAAGAACTTAGAAATTTAAAAATCCTGATTCTGATACTTCTTTTAAGTGAGGATATTGAGGTTGGTTGGCACTCGAGTTTTGTTATGAATTCTGTGACTTTGGGGGCACTTAAGTGGAGTATGTATTTTTTTTACCTGTATGTATTCGCATGTGTGGATGCACACGTGTGTACTTGTATATGTGAACATATATTTGTGTGTGTGTGTGTGGTGTGTGTGTGTGGTGTGTGTGTGTGGTGTGTGGTATGTGTGGTGTGCGTGTGGTGTGTATGTGGTGTGTGTGTGTGTGTTGTGTGTGTGTGTATGTATGTATGGGGGTGTGTGTGTGTGAATAACATGCGCAGTATCTCTGAAGGTACTCTGACACTGTGTGAGCTGTGCTTGCTTTATAAAAGGCACTGTGCAGAGGTTTCAAGGAAGCTCTGCCGGGATGACCTCTCTCAGGACTGATGCTGACCC